GTTGCCACTTAATTTTTGCCTAGACCAGTGGTTCTCCTATGCAGTTCTCTATGGGTTATGTGGGCTCACATGGACTCTCATGAGTTACAGCTATGTGCCGATTGGGCTGCAAGTAGGCCGCAGGATGAGAACTATTGGCCTAGACCTAGGCAGAGTGAGAGGAGGGCTGATACGATCTGCAGATTCAATAAAAGTCACATATTTGGGCTCAGAAAAACGTTGTAGAGCACAAGAGCTGTCGTCATACCAAGTAGTTTAAGTGGCTTTGAAATGCTGGGCTTTTCACTTCTGAGTCATAAGTTCTGATCTTGGATCAGTAAGTCACTATTGTGAGATGTCCATTTGTATCATATCTAAATAACATTATTAATTCACATTCTTTTGTTAACATACATATCCAGATCCTTGGTGTCATTGCAATCTCAGTCCCAGATGTTTCTTCCAGAATAGGGCTGAGGTACATAGGCTGGAGAGATTGTGCAGAGCAGTCGTTTTCTTTCTGCATATGCTTTTATGGCACTGTGGTGTTTTTCTTTGCCCAAAATGGGGTTAGTCTTCAGATGGTATGTCTACCCAAAAAATCACAGCTGGCCCGGGCCAGCTGACTCAGGCTTGTGCTGTGGGGCTATTTTATTGTTCTATAGACTTCTAGGCTCCAGCCCAAGCCCGGAAGTCTGCAGAACAATGAAACAGCCGCACAGCCTGAGCCTGAGTCATCTGGCATGGGCCAGCCACAGGTTTCTCTTTGCTGTGTGGATATACCCAGAGTTAACAAATCAGCGCCTTTAATGAGTGTTAAGTACATTTGCTACAAGCGTTTCTTGTCTAAATGTTTGATTCATTAAATAAGAACACTAAACCTTTTTCTTTTTTCCTATAGTTTGAGGGTGGGTCTGGATATGGTAAGTTTATATTTATACATTTTACGCATAGTTTACTGCTTAGTATTATAAGGACTTGATGCATACGTTTAAATCAGACTATTCTTATGCAGGGGGTCGTGGATCATACGGTGATCTCGGTGGACCCATCATCACAACACAAGTAACGATTCCCAAAGATGTAAGTATTTTATTCTTTTTGTAATAGCTCTCTAAAACATCTTGTCCAGATTGTACAAATGAACCAGAAATATTTCAGATGCTCACCCTTTTTCTTTCTATGCTGTATATATTTTTCCAAACTGCCACTCTTCGATTATTTGATGTTCATTTTGTCGCTTCATTTTACAAAAATAACTAATAGTAAAACTTAGTATTTTACTGATCTTGAGCAATCAAAATAGACTAGTCAACTTGATTTTTTTGCTTAGTCAATTTGACTTTCTCAAAAATGCTGCGAACAAATGGTGGCCACAAGGGAGCAATTTCCATTGGCACTCTAAAAAATCATAGAAACTACTGAGAGTAACACCTTGAATTCTGTAACTGTTTTTACAGGGAAATTTTATATTAAAATGTAAATGACTGGCTTTTTTTTTCTAGTTGGCTGGATCTATTATTGGGAAAGGAGGTCAGAGGATCAAACAAATACGTCATGAATCAGGGGCTTCAATCAAAATTGATGAACCTTTAGAAGGCTCAGAAGACCGGATAATAACTATTACAGGCACACAGGATCAGATACAGAATGCACAGTATTTACTGCAGAACAGGCAAGTTAAAGTTTTAATGTTGCACTCCCACTAAATTCTAAAGCTCTTCTTCTCTATTTATATGATGTAGCTTTTAGAAGGCAGGGTTTTAAAAATATCTATATAAGGACCTGACTTCTACACTTGGTAGTTTTGCCTTTTATTCTCTTTTGTTCTCCATTCTTACTAAAATGAAGACGCCCTCAAAACTAATCTTGCTGGAAGACGCCTTAACCAAGCAGTCCTCTCATTTCTCTGGTGAAAACTGCTGCAAAAACTACTTCTAATAAATTATATAGAGCCTGTAGAAAATATAGAAGATTTCAGTGGATGTTGGTCTAGTTCTGTGTGGAAGACTAGTGATTTTGTTGTTTTTAGATAACTAAATCGACAACAAATCGCAGTCTGCCATATGGCACAGGCCATCCCTCTACAGGACAAGTTGAAACGATTGGTGCTGTTAATGCAGCATTTCACACCTTACTGGCATTACCTTGTCTTTTCTGCCAAATATTAACAGCTTTAGATTTAATTTGCTTAATTTGCTTAATTTTTCTGTATTAACATGTTGGCTAACTAGTAAATATTTTGTAATAATAGATTTGAATGTTGAACTTCAGAGTATTAATGCTTAAATGTGAATTAAACCCTTAGTCTTTAAAAATATGCAAGTGTTTTGAGAACTTGTAATTTTGAGTTTTTTAAAAAAATGTGTGTAAATATTGATGCAAAATGTATGTTCAACCATTCTAATACATGCTTTTTTTTCTTTTTCTTTTATAGTGTGAAGCAGTATGCAGATGTTGAAGGATTCTAATGCAAGATATTTTTTCTTTTTTATAGTGTGAAGCAGTATTCTGGAAAGTTTTTCTAAGACTAGTGAAGAACTGAAGGAGTCCTGCATCTTTTTTTTTTTATCTGCTTCTGTTTAAAAAGCCAACATTCCTCTGCTTCATAGGTGTTCTGCATTTGAGGTGTAGTGAAAGCTTTGCTGTCCACCAGATGTAATGTTTTAGTTCCTTACAAATATTTGGGGGGGAAACAGGGTGTTGCGCGAGACTAACATTGGAATTTTGAAACAGCAGCAGAGAGAGTGGTTTTTATTTTTGTTAGTTGGTGATAATCTGTAATGTTTTTCTGTAACTATTGTGAACACCCTGCTTTATGTACACTGTATTTTTATTTTTATTTTTTGAAGGGGGAGAATATTAGTAGTCCATGTTTCTGGCATCCATTCAGAGCAGTGTGCAGAATGTAATGCTCTTTTGTAAGAAATGTTTTATGATTTTTAAAATAAATTTAGTGAATCTATACTTGGTGGTCATTTTTTTAGATATCCATGAAGGTAATATCTAAAATTGATGCTCTTTTCCTCCCCCCTCCTCCCCCCGCAAGGAATTGTAATTGAAAATTGCTGTTAAGTTCTTCTGCTTCTGATACAGACTTGTGTTTTGGCAAATTAAAGTGTATTGGTGAAAATACCATGATTCAAAGCTTTGCTGCTTGAGAATAAATTGAAACATACGCAAAAGTTGGGTTGGGTTTGGGTTTGTTGCAAGTGTTTGTCCCTACTTATCTGATTTGCAGCACATTTGTCTATATTACTGACTGTATGTGAATAAAACCTTTAAAACTTTGTGATATCTGAGTTACAATGTTAGATTCCACCTGAAGTCTGGTCATTGATGGCCTTGCTGTATCAAATAACACTGTTATAGAGATGAAAGATGGTGTACCTCTAATAAATACATTTTGATTTGTTTTCACATCTTTCAATTGTACGAGGTAGACACTTCTAAAGAATTGGGAGTTTGATAGATACTCTGTAACCTGTAAAAATATCCTGGTCTTTCATTGTGTACAGGCTTACATGAAACACTTGTATTGTTTCCCTGTTAAATGTTGGATTATGTAGGAAACATGAGAAATTCAAAAAATGATAAAAGTACCTCTGGATATCTCATGTACCTTGGCATTTGTAGTGATAGTTTACAAGTTTTAATTTCACTTCCTAAATAAAAATAAATGAAAAAAAAAAAAAACTATCCACATTACACACGGCTGGATCTGATAAATCTAGTTTGTGTGGATGCTTGTTTTCATTACTGAGACATTTCACTTCAGCTACCCTCCCAAACAGCTATCAACACCACTTGTGGCAAAGATGTAGATACAAGAAAGCTGGTTATTGTGTGTCGCTAGTCTTACACATGCTTTACTCAATCCTACTTAAACTAGAACAATTTTTATAGAGAAAACAAATTGTCAGCTTCCTCAATTCCTAAAATCAATATAAAGCAGTAGTTCTCAAACTATTGTATTGGTGGACCCCTTTCACAGAGCAAGCCTCTTGAGTGTGACATGCCCCGCCCCCTGTAAATTAAAAACACTTGTGTATATATTTAACACATTTATAAATGCTGGAGGCAAAGTGGGGATTGGGGTGGAGGCTGAGCGCTTGTGACCCCTTATGTAATAACCTCACAGTTATTCCACTGAATAGCAGAGATGGGGTTGCTGGTATTTTCTGTGCAGGAAATGGTAGCGTCCAACTATATTAAATGTGGACTACTTCACAATACAGTGTAAATGAGCTTAAAACTGGTGTTACAATTATTAGCCTTTGCAGGCAGATGGGCCTGTTGTCAGGTAGACCAGTGATTCTCAAAAGTGGGTTGTGACTTCATTTTAATGTGGTTGCCAAAGCCAGCATTAGACTTGCTGGAACCCAGGGCTGAAGCTAAAGCTTGAGCTCTACCCTCTCTTCCCTTCCCCCTGCCCCATGTAGTAACTTATTATCTGAAAGGGGTCATAATGCAATGAGCTTTAAGAACTCCTGGGTTAGAGTGACTTGCACATTGCAGGCCACAGAATCTCATTATCTTTTCCTGAAATAGACCCATAACTTCTGTCTCAAATCATGATCTAAAGGCTTTTGAGTTATAGAAAGCATAGTGACTTGTGTCTTTCTGACTACCAGCGGCTAACAAACGGCTTCTATGGGGGAACATGACGCGGTATTTTGTTCACGTTCCTTAAGCCTGTTGTAGGCATATAACGCTTTAAAATAAAGCGCGGTGCTTTCTGTGTTCAAATCGCTCTGCGAGCAATTGATTATCCGTGCTGCAATATAATTCCCTCAGAACTCCCTTTTTCTGCTTTCCCCGCATTCTCCTTTAGCCCCAAATCAGCAGCTAGCCCCTCTCATTGCACCAGGAGTTACAGAGAAGGAAAGCGTTTGGCAGAAGCTCCATAAAGAGTCCGTAAGGCGGAGTTAGCGCCTCACCGCCTTCTGATACAAACTGCTGTAAAGGCCAGGCCGAGCCCCCGCTCCGTCAATCGGCTCTTTCTTGCAGCCTGTGTATTAGCTCCGAAGGAGCGCCCCGCGTCTTGTCTTCTCGCCGCTATTATGCGCATCAGGCAAGTCCCCATTGGCGGCTGACGGTGCGACGGCTGGAAGAAAGGCGGAAGGGGCAGGCTGTGCGCCGCTGTTTCTCGTTCTGTGGCGCAGCCTCCTTGTTCCGTCGCTCGCTGTGCGGATCACTCCGCGCGAAGCGCCCGCCCAGGTAAGCAGGGAGCCGGCTGGGGGCGCTCGTCCCCGCTGCAGCAGCGCCCGCCTGGGGTGTTCAGCGTGGGCGGGGGGCCCGGCCCCGGGCCTTAGTTCTCCTTCCTTTCTGGTACGCTCTGCGGGGAGAAGCGCTCTGGCGGCCCGTAGCTAACCACGTGCAAGGGGCGGGGCCAACCCACCGCGAGACCTGGGTGATGCTAATGATGGCCCTGTTCGTGCTGGGCCCCGCCACGCCCCTGGGTGACTCTGGGTGTTTCTCTTTCTCTGTCGCCAGAAGGAGAGCCATGGAAGCGTTCCTGTCCCCTAAAGACTCTGCCAGGTTCATAGCCGAGAGCAGCCAAGACGTGCTCGTTGAAGAGGAGGGAGTGAGGAAAGTTGCAGAGGCTCTGTTTGACAAAGTCTCAGCAAAAGAGTTCAGTTTGGCTGGCTGGAAATCTCTTCACGAACTGAACCCTCAAGCAGTGAGTGATGATGCAGTGAACTGGGTGTTTCTTGCAGATACCCTTAACTTTTCCTTTTGGTCTGAACATGAAGACTGTAAGTGTCTGGTGAAGTACAGAGGCAAGATGTACAGTGGTTACTGGTCTCTTTGTGCTGCAATCAACAGAGCACTTGATGATGGTTAGTGCATAAGTACTGTGAATTGTGGTGGAGCAGCATGGCTGCTGTATGGTTGAGTTGCTTATTTAACTAAAAAGAAAAGGAGTACTTGTGGCACCTTAGAGACTAACCAATTTATTTGAGCATGAGCTTTCGTGAGCCACAGCTCACGTGAGCTGTGGCTCACGAAAGCTCATGCTCAAATAAATTGGTTAGTCTCTAAGGTGCCACAAGTACTCCTTTTCTTTTTGCGAATACAGACTAACACGGCTGTTCCTCTGAAACCTGTCATTATTTAACTAAAAATCTACATGCCAGTTATCATTATGATAGGAGAAGGAGGAAATTCAAGACTGTCTCAGAGTCAGTTTTAAAGTTACTCCTTTATCCTGCAAATACATGGAGGTGAGCAGCTTAGTATACATGGGTAGTCCCATCAAGTTCACGTGAGATGAAATAGAAGGGCTCTAATCCTATTCTTACAGAAATTAAAGTAAACTATTCAATCATGTATATGCAAAACAATTTCTGTCTTGGGTTATATTTTTTCCTATTAATTATACTTTTGACAATTACGTAGTTATGCATATGTGACTCCTGTTATTTCAGATACATACTTTGTAAAATTAATTTTATATTTTTGTGATTAACAAGTAAACCTTGTCTACACTGAGACTTTTAGGGAATTCTCTCCTGTTAATCTAACACCAATGCAGCTCTAGCAAGTCTAGAAACCACAGTAATAGAGGCAAAGAGTCCTGTGGCACCTTATAGACTAACAGACACATTGGAGCATAAGCTTTCGTGGGTGAATACCCACTTCGTCGGATGTATGTAGTGGAAATTTCCAGAGGCAGGTATAAATATGCAAGCAAGAATCAGGCTAGAAGAGGGCCTCATCCTCCCTGATTGAACTAACCTCCTTATCCCTAGCCTGGTTCTTGCTTGCATATTTATACCTGCCTCTGGGAATTTCCACTACATGCATCCGATGAAGTGGGTATTCACCCTCAAAAGCTTATGCTCCAGTATGTCTGTTAGCCTATAAGGTGCCACAGGACTCTTTGCCACTTTTTACAGATCCAGATTAACACAGCTACTCCTCTGATACTTGACACAGTGCCTGGTGTCGGCTGGTGCTTCCACAGTTGCTATCACTGAAGGAGTGCTAGCCCAATGGTGAAGGTATGGCGAAAAATTCTCCTTGTGGGTCTAGTTAAATGTCATAATGAAGAAACCACAATGAGTGCATACAAATAAGGGGAAAGCTGTAAGAGTATTTTATGTGGATTCAGAATGACTGGTGTAAAAATATGAGTAAGAATCATGTACTGATATTTGCATGGGAATATTATTTAAACCTCAAATCAAGTGTTGAAGACTAGTAGAAATGGGGAAAGACACAGAAGAAAGAGAAGAAATGTACTATGATGACCTGCTGTTGGGAGCTGTTATGTATAGGAGTCTACAGACCTAATAAAGCACTGTCTCCATTTAAAACCAAACTTAACAGTTATCTGAATACTTGATTCATCTTAATTTGTAAACATTACTTTCTAGTGTACAAGTGTAATATAACCACTCCAATCCTCAGTGTATTATTATTTCGCAAATGCCTATATAACATGACATTCTAAAAAGTTTTGTTTTCCTTTTTCTGAAGGAATACCTATTACCAGTGCGGCATATTATGCCACTATGACACTTGAGCAGGTTAGACATGTATTTCGCTCTGACACAGATGTCCCCATGCCTTTGATTGAAGAGAGACATCGTATTCTGAAAGAAACTGGGACAATTCTGCTTGAGAAGTTTGGAGGCTCTTTCGTCACCTGTGTTAAAATGAGTGAGAAAAGTGCTCAGAAACTACTGCGTATAGTAGTCGAGAATTTTCCTTCTTACAGAGATGAGGCTACATTTAAGGTAAGTTAGTTCTGCTGGGGAATTTTGAACTTCAAAAGAGCTCACTTATTACTGAGCGTACCCCAAAACTATTGTTAAGCTGTCCATGAAAACTTTTTTTTTTTTTAAATGACAACAGGTCAAATTTTGTCAGAATTGAGGTCTTGTGAAAACAAGCTTCCATAAAATCAAAGACTAATAGAAATGCTGCCCTGAAATCTTTTTATTTTTGAATTTCAATGGTAACAATTCTTCTGCTGTGTTTGCAATCCAAACATTATAGCATGGTGCTAGTGCTTGAGAACCTGAGAGTGAAATTGACTAATCAATTTTTGCTGATGTTTCTCTCCTGTAAAAAGCAAACAGCATGTAGTGAAAAGCAAATCTGATATTTTAATGGGTTTTTAATAATATTTAATCATTAGTAATAAAGGGAACTTTTTTTTTGTTTTTTTTCTTTTAAGAAATTAATTTTAAGATGTGGTAAAATTGTGTTTTATCTATACAGCTAACAATAGATAACAAAACTACAAGAATTACTTAAAACTCACTTGCTTAATGAAAGCCTTTGTGCTCCTTGAAACCCAATAGGCCAGGGGTGGCCAACCTGTGGCTCCGGAGCCACGTGCGGCTCTTCAGAAGTTTTATATGTGGCTCCTTATATAGGCATCAGCTCCGGGGCTGGAGCTACAGTCGCCAACTTTCCAATGTGCCAGGGGAGCTCACTGCTCAACCCCTGGCTCTGCCACAGGCCCTGTCCCCACTCCACCCCTTCCTACCCCCTCCTCTGAGCCTGCCGTGCTTCCACTCCTTCCCCCCCCCCCCCAGCCTCCTGCATGCCACGAAACAGCTGATCAGGAGGGAGGGGGAAGTGCTGATTGGCAGGGCTGCCAGTGGGTGGGAGGCGCTGGAAGGGGGAACTGATGGCGGAGGGCGGAGAGAGCTGCTGATGTATTACTGTGGCTCTTTGGCAATGTAATTGGTAAATTCTGGCTCCTTCTCAAGCTCAGGTTGGCCACCCCTGCAATAGGGACTGCCTTAATTACTTGCACTGATAAATAACTCCTGTACTAGTCAGTGATGCATTCCTTATGGATGATGCACACTTTTCTGAGTGAAAGCACACAGTTTATTTTCCTTCTTCACCGTTCTTGCTGTTGTTTGTTTTTGTATTGTAGGAGTGACAGGGTTCCCAATCAAATCAGGGTCCCATTGTACCAGGGTCTATATAAACACACAGGAAGAGATGATTCCAGGCCCTGAAAGTTCATATTCTGCTCCCACTAACTCTATTTTTCCTTTTATCTGAGAGTATGTCTACGCTACCAAATTAGGTCGGTTTTATAGAAGGCGATTTTATACAGTTGATTTGTGTATGTGCCCACTAAGCACATTAAGTCAGCGGAGTATGTCCTCAATACCATGGCTAGCATCGACTTACAGAGCAGTGCACTGTGGGTAGCTATCCCACAGTTCCCGCAGTCTCCACTGCCCATTGGAATTCCAGGTTAAGCTCCCAATGCCTGATGGGGCAAAAATATTGTTGAGGGTGGTTTTGGGTACATGTCGTCAGTCGCCTCCTTCCTTCCCTCCGTGAAAGCAACGACAGACAATTGTTTCGCGCCGTTTTTCCTGGGTTACCCATGCAGACACCATACCACGGCAAGCATGCAGCCCGCTCAGCTCACCGCTGCTGATGTGAGCATTGTTAACACCTTGCGCATGATCCTTGAGTATGTGCAGAACCGGGCTAAGAGACGCCAGCACGAGGACGATTGTGATGAGGACATGGACACAGATGTTCCTGAAAGCATAGGCTGTGGCAGTTGGGACATCATGGTGGCAGTGGGGCTGGTTGATACAGTGGAATGCCGATTCTGGGCCCAGCAAACAAGCACAGATTGGTGAGACCGCATAGTGTTGCAGGTATGGGATGATTCACAGTGCCTGCGAAACTTCCGCATGCATAAGGCCACTTTCCTTGAACTTTGTGAGTTGCTTTCCCCCACCCTGAAGTGCAGAAATGCCAAGATGAGAGCTGCCCTGACAGTTGAGAACCGAGTGGTGATAGCCCTGTGGAAGCTTGCAATGCCGGACTGCTACCGGTCAGTCGGGAATCAATTTGGAATGGGCAAGTCTACTGTGGGGACTGCTGTGATCCAAGTAGCCAGTGCGATCACTGATGTTCTGCTATCAAGGGTAGTGACTCTGGGAAATGTGCAGGTCATACTGAATGGCTTTGCTGCAATGGGGTTCCCTAACTGTGGTGGGGCGATAAATGGAACACATATCCCTATCTTGGCACCGGACCACCTTGCCAACCAGTACGTAAACCTCAAGGGGTACTTCTCAATGGTGCTGCAAGCACTGGTGGGTCACAAGGGACATTTCACCGACATCAACGTGGGATGGCCGGGAAAGGTGCAAGACGCTTGCATCTTGAGGAACTCTGGGCTGTTCGAGCAGTTGCAAGAAGGATCTTACTTCCCAGACCAGAAAATTACCATTGGGAATGTTGAAATGCCAACAGTTATCCTTGGGGACCCAGCCTACCCCTTGCTCCCATGGTTCGTGAAGCCGTACACAGACAGCCTGGACGGTAGTAAGGAGCAGCTCAACTATAGACTGAGCAAGTGCAGAATGGTGGTAGAATGTGCCTTTGGACGTTTAAAAGCTCATTGGTGCTGTTTGCTGACTAGGTCAGACCTCAGCGCAACCAACATTCCCATTGTTATTGCTGTGTGTTCCATAATATCTGTGAGAGTAAGGGGGAGACGTTTATGGCGGGGTGGGAGGTTGAGGCAAATCGCCTGGCGTCCGATTTTTGAGCAGCCAGACACCAGAACGATTAGAAGAGCACAGCTAGGCACGTTGCACATCAGAGAGGCTTTGAAAACCAGTTTCATGACTGGCCAGGCTACGGTGTGATAGTTTTGTTTTTCTCCTTGCTGCAAACCTGCCCCCTTTGTTGATTTTAAGTCCCTGTAAGCCAACCCCCGACCCCTTCGATCACAGCTGGCAAAGGAAATGAAGTAACTATTATTTTGAAACCATGCATTCTTTATTAATTTAAAAAAAAAAGGGAGATAACTGACAAGGTAGCCCGGGTGGGGTGCGGGAGGAGGGAAGGACAAGACCACATTGCTTATTGTAGCCACAACACTACAAATCAAAACTGTTTTGTTTGAATGACAGCCTTTTGTTGCTTGGGCCATCCTCTGGAGTGGAGTGGCTGGGTGCCTGGAGCTCCGCCGCCGCCCCCCTCCCCCCCTCCCGTGTTCTTGGGCATCTGGGTGAGGAGGGTATGGAACTTGGTGAGGAGGGCAGGCAGTTATACAGTGGATGCATCGGGGAGCTGTGCTCTTGTTGGCTTTCCTGCAGCTCCAACAGACATTTCATCATGTCCGTTTGCTTCCCCCATTAGCCTCAGCATCGCCTCCTGCCTCTGTTCTTTGTGCTCACTTAATGCTTTCCTGGCCTCTGCCACTGATTGCCTCCATGCATTAAGCTGTGCCCTATCGGTGCGGGAGGACTGCATGAGCTCGGAAAACATGTCAGCGCGAGTTCGGTTTTTTTCGCCTTCTAATCTGCGATAACCTCAGGGACGGAGATGATAGGGGGATCATTTCTGAGAACAAAAGGGAGACTTTCACATGAATGAAGCGATTCACAGCAGACAGCATATGTGCTTTAGGTACAAGGTCACATTTTGCCTTTTGTATTGAGCACCTGCCGGTATGGTGACACATCACAAATGGCCGGGCAACAGAATTCAGTTTCCAGGCAGCCATGGTAAGCCTTTTGGTACGTGGGGTTGGCTTCTTACACCTTCATAACATGTGGGAATGGTTTCAAACTGCAGCGCCATCCTTTCCCATAGCAAGCAATGCCGGTTGGGCTACACATTTAGAAGAAGGGTCTGCGGTTTTTGGGTGGATGTGCAGCACACAACTCCTCCCACCCCGCTGCATCATTTATTCTCTGGGATGATCCCTTCACCCCTCCCCCGCCACTATTCTCTGGGATGATTCCTTCTAGCCAAGCACAAACAACCCAGCATGAACAGTGTCCTTTTACTGTTTCCTTACAAAAATTCCCCTATTTCAGCCAGGTGGCCATGAATGATATCACTCTCCTGAGGCTACTACAGAAAGATAAAGACCGAATGTTGCTTGAATGCGACCAAAACCCAGGACCATTCACTGCCATGCTTTGTGCTGCAATGATTCCAGACTACTTGCTACTGTCTTGGCGTGGTAAAGAGTCCTACCATGCAGGACGAAATAAGAGAGCCCTCCCCAGAAATCTTCTGCAAAGACTTTCAGCGTACCTCCAGGAGAGCTTCATGGAGATGTCCCTGGAGGATTCCTGCTCCACCCCCAGATACGTTAACAGACTTTTCCAGTAGCTGTACTGGCTGCAAATGCATCCCATTTGCCCTGAAGAATTGAAACATTAAACACTATTTCTTTTAAACCCTGTACTGTAGTTACAAATGTGCACTCTCGCCAGAGGTGCCTTCTCCAGCTTCAGGGTCGGGGATCCCGCCTTGGGAGGGTATTGGCTCCAGGGTGATGAAAAGGTCCTGGCTGCCGGGGAGAACGGATTCACCACTTGCCTGCTGAGCATTCTCCTCATCCACAAAATCCTCCTCCTTGTTGCATGAGACTCCCCTCTTTCAGGTGTCCACGGACAGTGATGGGGTAGTGGTAGGGCCCTATGGAGCTGTGGGACTGTCAGCTTCAGATCATGTAAGGTGCCCCTTACCCCCCCCCCCCCCCATTTCCACCCAGGTTGGGAGGTAAAACTCTGCAGATAAACTTTCGAACTCTGGGGCTGCCCTGACCAGGGACAGAGACTTTTGGGCCTTTGGGTGATTTTGGGTTGCTGGACTCAAGAACCCAAGGGAAAGGACACGCGCCAATTTGCTTAGGGTGGGTTTTTGCTCATGGGTTGTGTTATGAATCCTGTTGGTGGTGTTTCCCCAACATAATGCCATATTGTTTCTCTCTGTTATGAAAAGGCTTTTTTTGCTACACTCAGACTCCGTGCTTGCGAGAGGGGAAGTATTGCCTCTTGGAGGCACCCAGTAGGGGTGGTATATATTTGTCCCAGGTCACTGGGGGGAGGGGGGGGGCTCGAGCCGGTTTTGCATTGTGTTATTGGAATGGAACCCCTAGATACTGAACCCGGCCCTTGTTGCTGCCAACTCTGATGGGCAGAAGGGTTACACTTACAAACGGGCTATTGGTTAGCTCTAGCACGGTCAGACTGGTATTAGCAACGAATGCTTTAAGAGTTTCCCTTTTTTATACCTTTTTAACAAATAAGTGATGTCATTGCCAATTATTGGACCTTTGCTAAGGCCAGATGGAGTTTCTTTTATAGCCAATTATTTACTGCACCTGGTACCCAATTAACTATGTTTTATTTCTGTTATTTAGCCTGAATCTTAAATAAGATAACACTGGTATTTGAAGGGTCACTATTTCTTCTACATTTACATCAGCCATACAAAGAAGAGCAACAACTCTATCTTTTTTTACATTTAGATGATTAAGCCAGATAATTGCATCTGGACTAGCAGAGTGTATTGCTGTGATGCCTCCTTTTGTATTTGTGAATCGGGCATTGAGTTGTTATATGTTCCATGGTCTGTTCTGGGTGACCCCAGTTGCACGGTGGAGAGTCTTTAATTTTCCATTTGTACAGCAAGTATCTGCATCTGCCATGATTTGTGCGGATGTGTTTTGAGTTTCCCATGAGCTTCGTGGTAGATCAAAACCAGGGATCTTCTGCATTGGGTCTTTCACAGGCCATTTATTTGTGACTTTTTTTATGAATTCCTTTCTGCTTTCCAAGCATCATCAGGGTTGAAGTCACATTTGTTGAAGCTTAAATGCGTGGGTCCAAAAGTGCTTACATGACCTCAAGCGGTGGTGAGGGACGGTGTTAAGGTCCTGGTGAATGGAAAGACTTCATTTTCCGTGGTCCTTTGGAATTGCCAAAGTGTTGTGGCATTGCTTCCCCATCCATTTGCTGCAACATGCAACAGTACTGGCAGCCAAGGTGTTGGGGTTCACTTGAGGGTTGCAGTGATGCACCACATTGCAGTGTTCAGTTGGACAGCAACAAGTTGAATATTGCTACTTCTGGTCCATACCAGCACACAATACTCCGCTACAGAGTACACAAGGACTGTTGTCCCTAGCACTGATGGTGATGCTCGCCCACTTGTACTTGCCAGTTTCTGGACCAGGTTGACCCTTGTCTTTGTCTTGGCAATTACCTTCTTCAGATGGTTATGGAAGGTTAGTGTGTGATCCAGCTTCACTCCGAGATAAGCCAGAATGGGGTCATGACATAGTGTTGCCGCACAAGAGTTACTACACATTTCACAACAACTCTTCTTTCTCATGGTCTTATTCTTTTTGGTCATTTGTGTTGGATCTGTTGCTAATATCCCAACTCAATTTAAAATCATAGTTCATCCAAATCTAATGTGGGCCTATATTCTACAAGAGGTCCACCCTAACTGGTTTCTGAACTTACTGTGCTGTTCACTTTAAACAGTTCAAAGCATATTCTTTCTCCTTCCCTCAGATATATTTCTGATTAAAGGATAAACACTTTACTGGAAAGTGATCAGCAGAATATGCTTCTTATCTGTGTAATGACAAAATAGGTTTATGTAACCTTCACAAGAGTCTGAATGCTTAATGAGTCTTGCATTATAAATAGCAGCTGCAAACAAACTGCAGAATGAAAATCAGTCACAAACGCTGCCATTGCACCATAAACATTTACACGATCAAAGGCTTTGCATTAGTGCAATAAACTCTGTCTGTTTTTTTTGCCAGGCAGCTCTGAAGGTGGATGAAACACTGCTGCCCAAATTTATACCCTGGTTGTAACAAAATCAGTGCTACCAGTTGAGAGACAGTCCTAGTTTTCACATTATCAACATTGTTTCCATGGCAGAAGACTGAGGTGTCACAAGGCAGGACCATGACTGTGATACAGGATCAGGAAGTAGCAGAGAATGAAGTTGGGTGGGGGAGGAACTGAAAGCAAATCAAATTTCCCTAATAACACTTAAGAACAAAAATGTAATGTGTATTAGTGTCTCACGTTTGTATTAAAAAGTATAACTAAAATAGACTTCAGCTTTACTCAGTCATGCTCTGATTTTCTAGGGAAATTTTTAAAACTAAGACAATATGTCCCCAATTCGATGGGCACAAGTTTCACAAAATGTACTACATACAAGACACTTCGTTGCTAAAATTACAGACATCAGAGTCCCTATTGTCCTTATGTTCTTAAAGGCAAACTACAAACCAAAAAAGTATGTCCTTTTTTTGGTTTTGTTTGTGCCCTTAACAATATTAATAGACTGCCCTCCCTCTCTTCCACCCCCTTGGCCCAAAAAAACAAACAAAAAAACAGTTGCTGTTATAGACCACAATTAAGCAAGAACTTAAGTGCTTTGCTGAACTGGGAGCCAGATCCATATTACTTGTGAATCACTGTTGTACTCAAAATCATTGCTGTATTTGAAATGTGTCCCAGATTTTTGAGATTCACACTGGAGGAGTCTCATGCCTGCCAGTTAAACCATGGAATCCTTTCAAAGCAGTGACCCATGAATGATGCATATACGTATCCGTCGCGTCCAACATTCTGGAACTGTAAAATCCTCACTCCCTATCAATCCACCTTTTCTCTGATTTGGTGCTATAAGCATTATCATATCTTAAATGCTCAATACACTGCTTTGTGAGCAGCAACTAGCATTGGTAACATGGTACTTAAGGCCTCTGTCTGACTCAAGATTAGATCTGTTGGTAGGTCAGAATTAGTAAGGGTTCTGATGGTTCCAGCTGTTTTTCCGCTTTTCATTGGGGAGTAGGGATTACCATCCAATCCCTCAATGGACTTCCACTGCCAAAACTGATAGTTGGTCCAACTTCCCTCTGAAACAGTCTGAGAAAGCAGTTCAAATGGTAACACTATTTCCCTAAAGATATATGCTTCTTCCGAGACTAACTGCCACCAACAACCCTAGTTAATTCTGCTCTGTCCAGCCGACAAGTTATGAAGACTTAGAGGGAGATGGGGTCACTGTGGTAGCATTTTGGGAAGGATAAAAGTGCATGCATGCCAGGGCATGAAAACTACTATCACAGTCTAGCTGTGCTTTAATTTCTTTCTTTTGAAAAGCGAAGTGCTGGAAATTGCTGTTTATATACAAAGTATTATTTCCTTACATAGAACCTTACATATACTTTGAGTAGCATTTAAGTGAAACACGATAACATTCTAAGATGAGTATTTCTTTAAAAATGGAGGGGGGGGGGCAGCCATGCAGGATGAGTGGAGGATGGAGAGAGAGAACTAAAAAAAAGCACACAGTGTTGTGCAGTGAAACAGACTTGGCACTACTGATCTCTTGGTCCTTTTGGAGTTGGGCACAGAGCAGCGAAAAATATGCTCTATTCGCTGGAGTAATTTAAAGCCCTTTTTTAGAAAAAGAATAATTTTCTTGCTGTCCATTGTGAATTGTGACAATTTGAGGGGAGGGGAAGTGGAAGAAAAGTATTCAGAAATGTAATAAAAGTCCCATCTTATTTGCTAGTATTCTATAGTAGTCACTTCAACAAACAAACCCTGTTCTGCCATAGCTGTATTTTAATCAGATCTAGTTTTATTTTATAATAAAAATATTTATAGTTATAAGAGCTATGGCCCCAATCCTACAAAGGCTTATGCGCATTTTTAACTTTACACTTTGAAGTCAATGAGACTGCACACAGTGCATTAAAGGAAGCCTGTGCGTAAGTCTTTGGAGGATTGAGGCCTAATACAAAAGTATTTTTACAATTACTGAAATGAGTTTTTCCTCTCTACTGCTGTGTAATTGGCGAGATGTATGGAATGAATATTAAGTGTTACCTTCACTAGACTATTGTTTGATCAGTATTAGAGGCAAACTGTTGAACTCGATGTACCAATGGTCTGATCCAGTGAGATGCTCCCTATGTTCCTTTCCTCCGGATAAAGTCTTGGGTGAACTCTAGGGCCTCTGAAAGAAACTTTGTATTAACTGGGCTTCAAGGAGTGTAACTTATGGACAATAAACTATTGTCACTCAATAACCTGATATTTCAGTAATTCCCATGGACAATAAACCAATATTATTCAGGTTTCAGAGTAGCTGCCGTGTTAGTCTGTATCCGCAAAAAGAAAAGGAGTACTTGTGGCACCTTAGAGACTAACACATTTATTAGAGCATAAGCTGTCGTGAGCTACAGCTCACTTCATCGGATGCATCAAATGCTGTAGCTCACGACAGCTTATGCTCAAATGAATTTGTTAGTCTCTAAGGTGCCACAAGTACTCCTTCTCTTTTTGCAATATTATTCAATAACCTGATATCACAGTATATGAGTTCCACTTCAGTAAGTTCAGGTGTATTTCTTGTTTAAGGGGTTTTTGCATATAAAATTTGCATTTGGTTCTACGTTTTTATTGGAATGTCTAGGAGGATACTATATTCTGTTTAACTAGCTATCCTTAGTTGAGTAAGCATAATAATCGTTTCCTTTAACAAAATGAAGTCTCTGAATACCTACGTCTCTCAGGTGCCTAAACAGTTGTATTCTTGTTTTCTGTCAGGGTAAAAAGGTGTCTTTTTATAAACGGGCACAAATACTAGTGGCTGATACCTGGAGCTCATTGGAAGGGAAAGGAGATGGCTGCTTCAGTGACATTTCTAGTCTGACTATATTTGCTGACTATAGGATCCCTCAAGTCCTTGTTCACCTGGGAGCAATGAGATATTCTGATGAATTGATGAGGAAACTTCGTGAAGGTTTGCAACTCCTTTATTGCATCAAGTGTGTTTGTGGTTCATCAGCGTTTATGAATATTAATTTTGTAGCATAGAGATGATTAGCATCTATGAAAGAGGTGTATATGAGGTTTTTTCCTTTTGGTATGCAGAGTTATCCTCCAATGATGAGGGGAGAGTGGGAAAGTACATTCTCTAAAGATCTGGGATGAGAAGACCGCCCCCGTCATCCTTTTCATCTTATATAAATATTAAACTGTAAATTTATTTGGATTAAACACTACTAAGTCTGGATTTAAAAGGATGTGTACCAGTTGAACACTGAGCATCTGTAGGGCTGGTGCCATTTTCAACAAGGTTATAGCTGCCACTCCAGTTTGTGGCTTAGAGCAGTGCTTCTCAAGCTATCTGATGTGGGGGACTGGCAATTTTTTTTTTTTCCAGACCGGCACTGGTCCGCAGACCGGCACTTTGAGTGGCACTGGCTTAGAGTATGTCTACATTGCAGTTAGACACCTGCAGCTGGCCCATGCCTGCTGACTGACTCACATGGCTTGGGCTAAGAAGCTGTTAAATTGTGGTGTAGACATTCAAGCTCAGGTTGCAGCTCCAGCCCAAGCTTGAATGTCTATACTGTAATTAAACAGCCTCTCAGCCCAAGCTCTGTGAGTCGAAGTCAGCTGGCATGCGCCAGCCACAGGTTTTTAATTCTAGTGTAAACATACACTTAGTGAGTCCGTTCCTGAACCTGAAAAAACAAAAGGGTGGGGACAGTCATTTACCTTGACCTGCTAACAGCTACTCTGTGTGTGTGTGTGTGTGTGTGTGTGTGTGAGAAAAGAACAGTAATATAGAAACATAAAGGTATTTTGTTAGTTATTATGTAAACCTATCAATGTAAAGTGAAATTCTGAAGACCATATAAGCAAATTCTCTCTGGAGTCATAGTAAAGGCATAGCTATTGTAGTCATTAGAATAAATGGGTCCCTTTACATCTGGCAGTCCTTTAGTCATGTCCACTGACAGCTGCTTCTATTCTAATCTGTAATGTGTTTTGTCAGTACATGATAGAACACTTTCATATCCAGCAAATACAGCTTCCTTATTGTGTTTTTATTTATCTTATTTATTGAGTCTGTGGTCTTCTAGTGCTGGGTGATATTCAGATTCTGTTGCTATACCGTGGTGGATACATAATTGTCAATCTCTTGTCAGAAAAAGATAAAGACTGGAATCGCAAGAACAGGAATAAGGTGTATTCATAAATGTATGCAGCTTGCATAGCACCTGCCTGCAGCATTCCTGACTTTGAATAGTGCTGTAGTATTTGGATTTGCTTGTATATCAACCCTTCCCTCATCCGTGGCCACTTAGTGCTGTATTTTAGAAAAAACTACAATATATAGGACATCCCAATAGATGGGAGTTTAACAATGCAGCAACTCATAAATATACACAGAAAAACAAAACGAAATCCCTAGAAAATGCACAGGCTGAATTTTCTTGATTTTTAGTGCAGTATATTAAATCTGAAACTCTGGTTTATATTTAACTATATGTAGCTTAAAGAGAAAGTGTATACCATTCTGTGACTCCTGTCTTCTGTTCCACTGAACATTAATTGAAGTGCTCTCTACTCTGTTCTACAGGAGTAATGTTCCATTCTGGAGATCAACAAGAAGTGGAGATCCGAGGTTGTTCTATTTGGTGTTGTGGATTGATTTGTGATCACCTGCTGGAACTTTATAAGAAGAAAGGACAAAACATGAGTGAAAGAATCAATGCAGTTCTTCTTGATTATTATCTATGGGACTATGCCCGGGATCACAGAGAAGATATGAAAGAGATTCCAATTCATCGTGTACGTTGCATATACTACTAACAACACCAATTTTATAGATCTCTCACTAAAGCATCCTGCAGATTTGTCACTTAATTTGTAGCTTTTTATATACTGATTTGAAGCATTCAGGAGAAAGTTAAATACCTGTTCTCTGATAATATTAACACTTTGTCCATCACTGCAGTTGTGTAGTAGTACTCCATAGAGATCACATTCAGGGAAGGCCTATTTTTTGTATTCAGTAAATAATTGTGCTTGAAATAAAACCAAGAGATCTGGATTTATATAATCAAACTTTATTAAAGTTGAATCAGCGGTGTATTAACGCCTAGGCTGACAAGGCCTAGGCCTAAGGGCCACAAATTTGCAGGGGCAGCAAATTTATAATAGCAGACGGACACTGCTTCCCCTGGTGCTGGTTCGTGCCCTCTGCCCCGGCCCAGCCCCGCCTCCTCTCCTGAGCATGCGCCGTGTTCCCCCCCACCCCCCCTTCATGAAGCTATTTCGCGCACAAGCACTGGCAGGGAGAAGCAGGACCCAGCGGCATGCTTAGGGGAGGAGGCGGAGGTGAGCTGTGGCGGGGGGGCTGGGAGCTGCTTGGGGGGGAGGGCGGCAATTATTTCAAGGCTTGAGGGCGGCAAAATCATTAATCCGCCATTGAGTTGAATCACTTGATTCAGTAAATATTCAATTATCAAATTTGTGTTGTAAATTTTAAACATCACTGCATTTTCATAGGCACACAGGGCTGGAAGAGATGTTGAGAGGTCATCAAGTCCAGCCCCCTGCACTCAGGCAGGACCAGGTAAACCTAGACCAGTCCTGACAGGAGTTTGTCCAACCTGTTCTTAATAAGCTCCAATGATGGAAATTCTGCAACCTTCCTTGGAAGCCTGCTACAGAGCTTAATTATCCTTATACATAGAAAGCTTTTCCTAAATCTCCCTTGCTTCAATTTTAGACGACTGCTTCTTATCCAACCTTCAACTCACATGGAGAACAATTGATCAGCATCCTCTTTATAACAGCCCTTAACATATTTGAAGACTTCATCTGGTTCTCCCTCAGCCGCCTTTTCTCAAGACTAAACATGCCCAGTTTTTTTAACCTTTCCTCATAGGGCATACTCCCCTGTATTTACACCCCCCCACCCTACTGTAATATTTCTACAAAGTGTGCCTTGTAAGGTATCATTTGAAAACTCATAATTTGCTGGTTAGTATTGGCCTGGTAAGATGTGTGGGAGTATTGATGCGAAGTTATAAGATTCCCCCCTGTTGTGGTGTTAACACATGCCCCAAACCCCACAGCCCTGCCCAAACAGATGTTGGCAAACTTTCTTGACTTATGCAGTTGTGATACACTATAACCACTGGATTCTTTTCAGCAGTACTACTGCTTAGCGAATTATTTCCTATTTTGTAGTTGTGCATTTGATTTTTTTATTTTTCCTTCTTAAGGGTAGTATTTTGCACTTTTATCTTTATTGAATTACATCTTGTTGATTTCAAACCAGTTCTTTAATTTGTCAAGGTCATTTTGAATTCTAATCCCGTCCTCTAAGGTACTTGTAACCCCTCCAACCTTGTCATCTGCAGATTTTGTAAGCATACTATCCACCCCATTATCCAAGTTTACTATTCAGTATTTTCATCAATACAGGACCCCTGCAATATCCCACTACGTATACCTTCCCAGCTCAACAGTGAACCATTGATAATTATTCTTTGAGTACAGTCTTGCAACCAGTGGTGCACTCACTTTATAGTAATTTAATCTAGATCACATTTTCCTAGTTTACTTGCTTATGAGAATGTCATGTGACTGCATCAAAAGTTTTACTTAAATCAAGATACATCAGGTCTACTTCTCCTATGCCTCCACTCCCCCATGCATCTAAAGAATTGGGTTTTTTACCCCTGAAAGCTTGTGCCCAAATAAATCTATTAGTCTTTAAGGTGCCACCGGACTCCTTGTTTTTGTGGATACAGACTAACATAGCTACACCTCTGATACTCTGTGTCTGTTTTCTTTTGGCCATAAGATGGCTCTTTTGTAATTTGTGTGTCTTCTGCAGCACTGAGAACATCGGTTAATTAATGGAAGTGATGACAGAGATAGCTTTGGTTTTTTGGTGGGGGAGGGGGCTTGAAATTAATTGGAAAAACCTCAGGCTGGTACATTTAGTTATCATTCTGGTAGAGCACCATAAGCACAACAGTGTAAGACACCTGGTAGTGTAATGTGATCTGGTGGCAAAATACTAGCTGAGTTGCTGCACGACCCATGACATGGCTGTGTAACATGATGGTTGGCTGTGATGGGGTGGGGTAATATGTGAGTTATGACAACGGACCTGGTGGCAGCGTAACAGCTGCTAGGTGAAATGGAGATAGGCAGCAGCAGCATAACCTGTAGCAAGTGGCAACTGATGAGGGGAGATAGATGCCATCCTGCCAACTCTTAATGATTTTATCACAAGTCTTGCAATATTTGGTTGTTTATTTAAAGCCACAGTTTCTGGAGCCAATGATTGAGAATCTCAACTTTATTTTTTGTTCTTAAAGTACAATTCTAACCCCAGGGAGGGGGAAGTGTGCAGAGAGCAGCTCGATCAGGATTGCCCTAGGCTCGTCCCTCCACCTACCCCTCTCCAGCAGCTCAGAAAGCAGATGTGCCAAGGCATAATTTTTTTTTTAAGACTGAAAAAAAACAACCACTCTTGTCTCATGATATTTTGAGGCCTGATTTTTGAACATGTAGCAGGGACATGGCCATTGGAGACCTAGCCTGGGGTGACTGGCTCTAGCTCAGGGCATAGCGACCTTTCAGAAGTGGTGGGCTGTGTCTTCATTTAGTCACTCTAATGTAAGGTTTCGTGTGCCAGTCAATACATTTTAATATTTTTAGAAGGTCTCTCTCTATAAGTCTAGAACATATAACTACACTGTTGTATGTAAAGTAAATTAGGTTTTTAAAATGTTTAAGAAGCTTTATTTAAAATTAAATTAAAATGTGGAGCCCCCCCCCCCCCCCGAACTGGCGGCGGGGAGGGAGCCCTGTGGCAGGGCAGGAGGTGCTGAGGCCTGAGCTGAGCCAGAATGAGGGGGCGCAGACTGAGGCCCAGCTTCCTCACATGGGCCCAAGTGGGACGGAAGGCGAAGCCCCGCAGCCAGTCGCTCGGGTCTGGGGCTTGAAGCCGGCGGCGGGGTCGGCCTCCTGCAGGGCCACCCACCCACGGGAGCGGCGCGGCCGGGCAGCGGCGCTCGCAGGGTCCTGTAGGGGGCACTGCGCCGGGCGGAGCGGGGCGGGAAGCGCCGCTCTTGGGGGCGGCAGAGGCCTCGGACTCGCTGACCGCCGCCGGGCCGGAAGGTTCCGCTGTTGCCTGGTGACCGCGTGTAAACAGAAGGGGAGTGGCGGGGAGCGGCCTGCATCACTCTCCGCCCGTGCCCAGCAGCAGCAGGTGGGTTTGCCGCAGCCCCGCGGGTCGGTGCTTCCCTTCCCAGCCCTCCGAGACGCCGCAGCCTCTCCTGTGCCTGGCACCGGCCCCGCCAGCAGACCCTTCCCCAAGGGGAGAGGAAGAGGGAGAAAAGCTGGGCACTCCCCGGCCCGGTAGGAGCCACACGCTGCCCGTCCCGCTCGGGCATAGCACCGAGCAGTAACGCTGCTCAGCCGAGGAGCCGCGCCGGGGAGGAGCAGCCTGATCCCCGTGTCACAGGCCGGGCGCTGAAGAAGGATGGAGAAGTTAAGCAACGTGCCCAAGGCCAGTGGCACAGCCAGGTCTGGGAGCCAAGTCTCCTGGGTCCCCCCAGGCCTGCGCCCTGTCTTAGCAGGTGGTTCTCGAGCACTGGGTTAGGGAGCTACAATGGCATTCCCAAGGGTTTTCTGGCACCACACCACGCAGGGTCTATTATGCTGGGGACCCCTTTCCAAACACAGTGCAGCAAAGCAGCTTTTTTGTTAGCTGAACCCAGGTTTAGTCTGAGGATGATTTCTGCACCCGATTTTAATAATAATAATTAATTATAATGATTGAGCAGAGACACAAACTGTGACATCTGCATGTGTATTATGACTGGTTATATGAGTAATTCATAATAGACTTCTTAAAATTATATATTTATGTTACATCTCTGTGCCAGTCTGTCTTTCGGATTGTGGTGTGTGTCTGGGGGAGGATGGGGAAATACAATATTTCAGATAATAAGTAAATATATTAGCATAATACATGTGCATAATATTGGCACTAGGTGAACAAAGGAAGAACTTTTAGCCATATTCTTGCATTAAATATTTCAGTTGCTAAATATTAACATGAAAGCTGAATGAACCCAGAAGTCAGATCTCCTGATTCTCATTTTAGAGACCTGATCCCCTATTAATTAAAGGCTCTGCACTTATTGTATTTTCCACAACTTTCCAAAATTCTTTGTGATAACAAGGTAATGGTCCATGGAGGTAGGTTTTTTTTCTTTGTTTGTTTAATACTGTAAAAGCTAATACATTTGGCAGGTATAAATACTGATTTATATTTCAGTTAGTGGTTTCTAAAGAGCTCATGATATTTTCATTCAGACTAAAAACAATTCTGTGTAGAAATAATTAAAAAAAAACAAAAAATATTTTATTTGTGTGGACTGGGGTTTGCTTGTGCTGAGCCATCAGACAATAGAATTCTTTCTACAATAGAATTCATACTACCAACGGTTGTACCTGTGCTCTATGCTTGTAGAGAGACTCTGTTCTGTGTATTTGTAAACCACAATCAGGTTTCTTTAAAGACTTTTTTGTCTATGCTGAAAATGTTTAGAAGTGATCTTGTAAGATATTTCATCTAATACCCCTGTTGCCCCAACTCTAGACTCTCTTTATGTTTGAGAGTTTTGTGTGCTTTTTTTTAATTAAAAAAAGTTCAGTAACCAACAGTGTACATAATATTGTTATGAGACCCTAGTAAGTTCCTTATATAGGGAAATCATCTCTCTTTCTATAAACAGGCACCATTTAAATAACAAACAAATCCTTCTTCCCCATCCCTCCCATATATAGTAGCTACAGTACAATGCCACTTGGAATCCACTACTTGTTCTGCTTTCAGTTTGATTCCTGGGGCACTCATTTCCACTCACTATTGTCAATTAAAAAAGAATTAAATACTTAAATAAGGGTCCAGTTTATAAAATAGTGAAAACATCTTTTAGACCTTTGGATCCATCTCTCTGCAACTGCAGAATATAGTTCGTGAAAAGTGATCATGACAGTGAACATATCCAATACTAAAGTGATACTAAATTTGAGGTTACACCAAATCTCAAGAAAAAGCTAGTTATAAAACTTTTTATTTAGGCTTTGATTCTAAAGTATTAAAAGGCAGGAAATCCATACCTACTATTTATATGACAAGCTAGCCTTTACGTATTCCTACATATGGAAGTCTAGCAAACAATGCAACCCACAAGAACTACTTCTTCCCCTCATTTCTGCTCTCATGGGACTCTTGGAACTGAAGTGGTTGTGGTCACGCAGCCTTTCCATAACTTAAACTCTGAACCTTTGGTGTCCTGAGGGGGTGTCCATCCACGCCTGACAAACTCAGCTTTCCAGAAGGTTCTTGAAAGTAGCTGTGGGAGGAGGAACATCCCATAAGAGTGAATATGCAGAGGGCAACACAAGGAACCACAATTGCTATAAGTTACCTGTTTTCAAAAAACAAATGAAAACAAAAAACAAAACTGTCATTTTAATTAGGTAGGTACTTAACACTGATTAAAAAGGCCTGACTTCTGCATCAGGCTTCTTAAAGTATAATAATCAGAGAAGTATTTAAAATTACACCTTCTTGTCATATGCAACTAATCTGTTTCCCGTGTGCTTTTCAAGTCCTGTCTACTTATCTTATGTAAGTGGAAGACATTTTTAATGTGCTTTTACTTCTGTTTCCCCTACAGAGCTAATATAGCTGTTGGAGAGTGAGTTGGATTAATTCTGAGCACGTGCTTCATCAACAGAATTGATAAGTAAGCTCTCACGGTGCTGTCTCTATTACTTAATGTACAGGTTCTCAACCTTTTTGAAATTATGCCATCCTCCCACACAACTTTTTTTTTTAACTTGGAATCATAGAATATCAGGGTTGGAAGGGACCTCAGGAGGTCATCTAGTCCAACCCCCTGCTCAAAAGCAGGACCCATCCCCAATTAAATCATCCCAGCCAAGGCTTTGTCAAGCCTGACCTTAAAAACTTCTAAGGAAGGAGATTCCACCACCTCCCCTCCCCAGCCTTACAAAATGGGACTTTCCAATGTAATCTAGGTGGAATTGGGGCTATTAATACATTGATTCCAATAAAGGGAATTCTACTAGAAATAAATCAGTCCTGTGCATAGGCTAGGAAACCTTTTAAAAGCACATGCCTTAGTATCCACAAAGTTTTCAGGGCAGTATTTCTCAATTTCAGCATTGAAGAGTGCTAGTGGGCATTGCGCTATGTCGCAATACCACTCGGTGAAATTTGTCCTAGCCACCCCACTGTCAGATGGTGTGGCAGATGGGCTAAATTTCACTGAGTGGTGTTGTAACCCTGTGAGTGAACGGGAAGGCTCGCTGTACCCCCATAGAAAGTTTAGCAAGCCTCCCCAGGGGGGAATGCCCCCTGTTTGAGAACAGCTGACTTAATGTAATCATGCCATGTCCAGAAAGAAATCACTTGGCTTTCAGATTCCAGGTCGAATTTGCTGGTCTGGTAATTAAGAGGGGGGAAAAATTACCTATAAACTGAAGGAATATGGGACTGGAGCCTTCTATGCCATTTTTACAGGACAGAAACTCACTCAGTTTAGTTAACTAAGTCACTGGGAAATGAACTTCTGTTCACTGTGTATTTCAGAAAACTTTGTTTCTTAGATGCAGAAGATTGAGAATGCTGTGAAGACAAGAACCATAAGAAAATTTTTCAGGTTAAGTGTTAAAATTGGAGGCTGTCATGGAAGAGATTCCAGTTAAAGTTGCCGTAAGAATAAGACCTCTGCTTTCCAAAGAGATTCTTCACAACCATCAAGTATGCATGAGACTGGTCCCAAACACACAACAAGTTATCATTGGGAAAGACCGTGTCTTCACGTTTGATTTTGTATTTGGCAAAAATTCAACTCAAGATGAAGTTTATACAACTTGCATTAAGCCTTTAGTAGTGTCTTTGATTGAAGGATATAATGCTACAGTTTTTGCTTATGGACAGACAGGGTCTGGGAAGACGTACACCATTGGTGGAGGTCACATTGGTATGTTTTGGAAAGTTTAATTTGTTTTTGTGATTTGTGACTAGTGTACTTGCCTAAACCAAATAAATAATACATGGAAGGCTATGTGATAGTCGTGAAATAATTATATTTTACAGGTGTATTTTTAAACACCTGAGGCGAATAGTTGTTCAGGCTGGCTGTTGGTTTTTTGTTTGTTTTTTTGCTGCTTGATTGACTTTTCCTATTAGAACACTGGGCTGGCTCCACTTGCAATAAATAATTCCAACAACTGTGTCTATGCAGCATAGAGAGCACTACAGTCTATCTATATCTGAGAAGTTTCTACAGTGTTCATTGCCACAGTATCTAAGCTCTGTGCTACTGTCAGAAAACAGTTAAAAGGCTAATAGAGAACACTGCTATAAACTAATATACTCTTCTGACTAAACATCAGTGAGATGAGCTATCCAGAACAGGGGTTTACCTTAAATTAGACTGTACTCAAGAACCCTGAGAAATGTCATATGAAGTGCTTTTCCTCCTCCACACACCCCCAACATTGTCAGTGCCAGCCACTGATATGAGGTTGGTTGGAGCTTCTGGATTTGACCCACATTTAAAATAGGATTGTTTTAGATGTGCAACTATTTGCTCTCATCTTCCAAATTTAATCCCAGCCTGTGCTTGAGCATCAAGATCTCATTTATTTTAACCTGTTTGCTCTTAACTTTATTAGGTATTAACTAAAAAAAGCAATGGTGAGCAAATCTATCTAATCTACTTTAGGTATTTCTAGCATATCCATCACTATAGTATTTGCGTGCCCAGAATATTTTTGTGCTCTTCAAATAATTCATTTGAGCACCGTAAGAGTCTGTTCAGAATGTAGTATTCAATGTAGAGTCTGCTTATTCAATGTAGAGTCTAAAGTAAGAGTTGAGAAAATATTATTTTAGCATTAGTATATTAGTGAATCTGAGTGAGTCTAGGCCATTGTAATATACACTTCCTTTTGGTTCCCTCAGCATGAAAATTACACAGATGTAGCCTCTCCTTAGACTCAAACTGAGTGTAATGAAGTTTGAAATTGTCATTTACATGTTGAGGATGTCAGGAGGTAGGAAGTACACCACCTTAGATTCCTTTAGACTCACCTATGAATTTGGCCCTCTGTCTTCATCTGATGGCCTAAAAAAGGATACACTTTTAGTATGAGATCAGTATCATAGAGATCAGAATTTTGGTTTAAAATGGCAAACATCTGATCTTTACTGGCAAAATTACCCCAGAAATGACAACTCTCTTAACCATCATCATTCTGAGTTATCAGACATTATTATTATTGGAATTCTATTCCTGTTAGAGCATGCTGCTGCTGTAGAATTTTATAATAGAAAACAAGATGGTAAGACATTTCTTATTTCAATGTCTTTGTGGTTCAAGATTCCAGATTAGACTCCTGCTGTTTAAATATTGGCGACATTATCAGGTAATCAGCATATTATTCTAAAATATGGAAAACAGTCTTTTATCCTTCCGACTAACTGGGTCGTACTATCTTTTTTTTCTGTGTTTAAATTGAATCATTTGAAGATTAGATTCCCTCCCTTGACCATGTTCACTGTTTTCAGGTGTTAATTCTCCTAATAGAAAATCCCAAATTATAACATGGCAGTTCTTTTTTTAATTTCACCTTTCCAAGTGGATATAAATAGATTATTTTAAAAATCTCAGTAAAAATTAAAATCCTCTTTATTCTTAATTCTTTTAATTTCTTGTCATCTTTTGACTAACCATGGTTATTGAATATTAAGCCTGAGTTACCTAGAAGCATTAAATAGCAGGTGCCACAGTACAAAGCTGTTCAAAGCTCAGCAATTTTTTTCATATATACCTATTGAGTCACTGATTAGATGGGACAATTTCTAATTTTCTTGGTTAGAAGGTGTGAGCCACTCAGAAGCCTCTCATCAACGCCCAACCAATTTCCATACTGTGGAATAAGTAACATCTGAGATCCTTTCTGATATTTAAAAGCAGGAGTTTGACATGGCATTGGTGAGCCATATGTTGGTTGAAAGAACAAGAAGTGCTCTTAAATATTGTCTTCTATTTCCGGCACATGGGAACTTACTGAACTACTGTTGTACCCTTATTGGAGCAAGAGGTATCTACTGAAAATTGAGGTTGTCGTAAAATTGTGCAATGTCCTGGCCATCAGTAATCACTGAGTGTAAAATGTGGCTCATGAGAAATATTGGCTTATAATAGTGATGCATTTGACTCCTGAACCACCCATCATGTTGCCCTCCAGTTTATATTAACAAGTAATTTATTGGAGCTTGATTATGAATCCTGTTAAGGATTGTAAACAAATATTCAGCCATTCAATAGTATTGATATATTGTGACTTTTTGACAGGACTAAATTCTTCAGATTCATGGGTGGCTTAGCGCTACTGGCCACAGACTTTTGTTCATGTTTCAGAAGTTTAAACTTTATAGTTTGTACTAAAGATATATTCACTGCAAGTCTGGTGACGTTTCTGTTTATATTTTAGCATCGGTTGGAGAGGATGAAAAAGGTATCATTCCACGTGCTATACAGGAACTATTTCAGAGCATCTCTGAAAACCATAATATTGACTTCAGTGTGAAAGTATCTTATATAGAGGTCTACAAGGAAGAACTCAGAGATCTGCTGGAGTTAGAGACTTCTATGAAAGATTTACACATCAGAGAAGATGAAAAGGGAAACACAGGTAGAGAAGCCTATTTGAACTCAAAAATTTATTAAATTTGCTCCTACTTATATGCGTGAAAGAATATTTCGTTCTAAGTGCAAGTTTATGAAAGCAAATGCAAATGTTCTTGTCTTCTCTTAAAAGAAAAAGCACTTATTAATGACAGATATTATGAAACAAGAGGGGAGGTCTATTGTAGGGATACATTTTATTGATAAATGTAAAGTTCATCTTGAATGGTCTGATACTGAGATAAACTGCTAGTCTTTGTGGCTTTGAAATGGATGAATGACAGAATGTTCTTGGTGGAACACGGGTTTTTGAATAATAATCCATCAATAAATTTTAAACTATTATGCAGGGATCAGTTACTCTTCTTTAGTACAAACATTTATGCACGTAAATTTCTAATCAGCCTCAGTTGACCACATATCCTTCTATGACAAGCTCTTTCCATTCATCAGTAAAATCCTGGGGAAAATCTATCTCGGACAGTAATATTCTTTATTACTTCTGTATTTTCAACTATCCAATTAAACAGAGACCTAGGAGGTACGGAAGCTGTTCAGAAAATCCTTGGTCCTTAAGCAGCATATTATGGAATCGCTACCACAGTGTTCTAGTTACGGCTGAGAAGCAATTTCCATTATAAGCATCTATTTTCAGTCCATTTTAACTGGGGTCGGGGGGAATTATCCTTTTGAACTGAGATTTCTCATTCTTGTTCTTAGACCAAGTTTGTAAAATTCCATATAGCTGTGTTTAAGTTATTCAAGCATGAAACCTTTATCACCATTAAGATAAATTTTTTTATACATTTTGGATTTTTGTTTTTGTTTTGGCGTGATGAATTAAACATAGCTTCTTTGTAGTTAATTATTCTGAGCTTGCTATGACAGCATTCTCAAAGATAGCAAATATATTGACTGTAGAAATGTTTTCAAATGAAGTAAAATTCTGTGGTATACATGGGATACACCAGTGGCTCTCAACCTTTCCAGGCTACTGTACCCCTGTCATAAATATAAAGGGAAGGGTAAACACCTTTAAATCCCTCCTGGCCAGAGGAAAAACTCTTTCACCTGTAAAGGGTTAAGAAGCTAGGGATAACCTTGCTGGCACCTGACCAAAATGACCAATGAGGAGACAAGATACTTTCAAACTTGGGGGGGGGGGGGGAACAAAGGTGCTCTCTCTCTGTGTGATGCTTTTGCCGGGAACAGAAAAGGAATGGAGTCTTAGAACTTAGTAAGTAAGCTAGCTAGATATGCGTTAGATTCTGTTTTGTTTAAACGGCTGATAAAATAAGCTGTGCTGAATGGAATGTATATTCCTGTTTTTGTGTCTTTTTGTAACTTAAGGTTTTGCCTAGAGGGATTCTCTATGTTTTGAATCTGATTACCCTGTAAGGTATTTACCATCCTGATTTTACAGAGGTGATTCTTTTACTTTTTCTTCAATTAAAATTCTTCTTTTAAGAACCTGATTGCTTTTTCCTTGTTCTTAAGATCCAAGGGTTTGGGTCTGTGTTCACCGATGCAAACTGGTGAGGATTTTTATAAAGCCTTCCCCAGGAAAGGGGGTGTAGGGTTTGGGAGGATTTTGGGGGGAAAGACGTTTCCAAGCGGACTCTTTCCCTGTTATATATTTGTTAGACACTTGGTGGTGGCAGCAATAAAGTCCAAGGGCAAAAGGTAAAATAGTTCGTACCTTGGGGAAGGTTTAACCTAAGCTGGTAAAAATAAGCTTAGGGGGTTTTCATGCAGGTCTCCACATCTGTACCCTAGAATTCAGAGTGGGAAGGAACCTTGACAACCCCTTTCAGAAGTCTGATTTGTCTTGCGTACCCCCAAGTTTCACCTCACTTAAAAATTACTTGCTTACAAAATCTGACATAAAAATACAAAAAAAAAACCCATAAAAAAAGTGTCACAGCACATAATTACTGAAAAATTGCTTAATTTCCCATTTTTACCATATAATTATAAAATAAATCAATTGGGATATAAATATTGTACTAACATTTCAGTGTATAGTATATAGAGCAGTATAAACAAATCATTGTATGAAATTTTAGTTTGTACTGACTTTGCTAGTGCTTTTTATGTAACCTGTTATAAAACTAGGCAAATATCTAGATGAGTTGATCTACCCCCTGGGGTATGCGTACCCCTGGTTGAGAACCACTGGGATACACTGTTTTTTTCCTAATTTCTCATAAGGCAACATGGCACAATGCTCCCTTGCACATGGGGCCCAATTTTTCAGTATGGCATCATCTTGTCCTCCAGTTTTGCACTCAGTTCTTTTGTGTATGCACAGACCTGCATGTAGACATTTGAAGAGCTCAGTAGTCAGGAAATTCAAATTAATTGCTTGAAGTAAGTGTTACTTGGTCATATTTCCTAGATGTAATGAAGTATAAACATTAATACCCTCTGGTCCAATCCTGCAAATTAGCCTCTGAATAGTTCATTGACTTCAGTGGGACTACTCACATGAGTAAAATTACTCACAAATGTAAGCGTTTGTTGTATTAGGCTGATAGACAATAATACAAATATATAGGTATAAAGTGACAAAGTTGTGAGAACCATAACTTTGAATTTTCTATCTTTTGTTTGTTTAACGTCTTCACTGTAACCTTGCATTTGTTGTTTTTTGAATTGATTTAAATAAAGTCTCAACAAGCTTTTTTGTAAAAAGGTAAAAATGCATTTTTTTAACAGTACATATATATATATTATACATACGCTACAGGTTTAATGTGCTGTATGCAGTGCTTCCATTAATATAACTTTTTCTTGTAGGTATTTGCTGTGAGCTCATATGCTAATGTGAACTTGTACACATTATTATAGCTAATTTTATTTGCTGGATTTTTAGTGTGTTTTTTTGTGGATTAGTTTGACTATTCATGACTTTATCTAAAAACAGTTTTTCTGTAAACTTTTGCTGAGAACTTAGTGTTAACCCATTATTCATGCTTTCCTGGGCTTGATGTTTGTAGTGATTGTTGGTGCCAAGGATTTCCAAGTGGAAAGCGTGGATGAAGTGATGAGCCTTTTAGAAAGTGGGAATGCAGCTCGCCACACAGGTACGACACAAATGAATGAGCACTCCAGCCGATCTCATGCTATTTTTACCATCAATATTTGTCAGCAACGACCTACACAGTCTCTGAAAAATGTAGCTGCTGCGCAAGATTTATCTCTGAGATCAGGCCAGATCATTGCTTCTAAGTTTCACTTCGTGGACTTGGCAGGATCAGAAAGGGTGACAAAAACAGGGAACACTGGTGAACGGTTCAAGGAATCAATTCAGATCAACAGTGGCTTGTTGGCTTTGGGAAATGTGATAAGTGCTCTTGGAGACCCAAAGAGAAAAAGTGTACATATCCCATATAGGGATGCTAAAATTACTCGTATTCTGAAAGACTCCTTAGGAGGAAACGCCAAGACGGTCATGATAACATGTATAAATCCGTCCTCATCTGACTTTGATGAGTCTTTAAATTCCCTCAAGTATGCCAACAGAGCCAAGAATATTAGAAATAAACCAGTTGTAAACTACAACCCTGAGCGGGACCGGATTGATGAAATGGAACTTGAGATCAAGTTGCTCCGGGAAGCTTTGCAGAATCAGCAGGTTAGTGTAATGAGCCATGCTAGCCAGGGATCACAAGATATGAGTGAAGATAGGACTCGAATTCATTCTCTTGAGGAGCAGCTTTCCCAGCTTCAGGTGGAATGTTTCAACTACAGAAATTGCATAGAGGAAGCGTTTCCCTTTCTAGTTGAACTAAATGACTTTGCCAGCCTAACAAGGCGTCAACAAGAGAAGCTGCAGGATTGGATCAACATGGCACAGGAGCTAAGGAAGGTAGCTCTCGTCATGCCACGAACTGATAGTGGAATTGGAAGCGACCAAGAGGAGCCACATCATATTACAATTCTTCAACTGAAGAGGGAACTAAAAAAATGCCAGGTATTAAACTATAACTTATTAATTTAAGTATTGTTACATGAAAGGGTAGCCCACTAGTAGAATTCACATTAGACTTTGAAAGTTTTAAAATACTTAACCCTATCATCTGCATTTTATCTAGGGTTTGATCTAGTTAAATAATAGCAGCATTGCAAAATTCTGTTTGCCTGCTCACTTGGGTGAGTTATTCATTTTGATAGGTGATTTAAAACATTAATCATCATTGTGTTAGAGGTGGGCAAATAGATTTTATGCTCGGGCTAATGAATTTTCATTACAGCTTTAAAGAGCTTGAATAACAGTATGATGACAGCCAGCATGGATTCACCAAGGGAAGGTCATGCCTGACTAATCTAATCGCCTTTTATGATGAGATTACTGGTTCTGTGGATGAAGGGAAAGCAGTGGATGTATTGTTTCTTGACTTTAGCAAAGCTTTTGACACAGTCTCCCACAGTATTCTTGTCAGCAAGTTAAGGAAGTATGGGCTGGATGAATGCACTATAAGGTGGGTAGAAAGCTGGCTAGATTGTCGGGCCCAACGGGTAGTGATCAATGGCTTCATGTCTAGTTGGCAGCCGGTATCAAGTGGAGTGCCCCAAGGGTCAGTCCTGGGGCCGGTTTTGTTCAATATCTTCATAAATGATCTGGAAGATGGTGTGGATTGCACTCTCAGCAAATTTGCGGATGATACTAAACTGGGAGGAGTGGTAGATACGCTGGAGGGGAGGGATAGGATACAGAAGGACCTAGACAAATTGGAGGATTGGGCCAAAAGAAATCTGATGAGGTTCAATAAGGATAAGTGCAGAGTCCTGCACTTAGGATGGAAGAATCCAATGCACCGCTACAGACTAGGGACCGAATGGCTAGGCAGCAGTTCTGCGGAAAAGGACCTAGGCGTGACAGTGGACGAGAAGCTGGATATGAGTCAGCAGTGTGCCCTTGTTGCCAAGAAGGCCAATGGCATTTTGGGATGTATAAGTAGGGGCATAGCGAGCAGATCGAGGGACGTGATCGTTCCCCTCTATTCGACATTGGTGAGGCCTCATCTGGAGTACTGTGTCCAGTTTTGGGCCCCACACTACAAGAAGGATGTAGATAAATTGGAAAATGTCCAGCGGCAGGCAACAAAAATGATTAGGGGGCTGGAACACATGACTTATGAGGAGAGGCTGAGGGAGCTGGGATTGTTTAGCCTGCAGAAGAGAAGAATGAGGGGGGATTTGATAGCTGCTTTCAACTACCTGAAAGGGGGTTCCAAAGAGGATGGATCTAGACTGTTCTCAATGGTAGCAGATGACAGAACGAGGAGTAATGGTCTCAAGTTGCAGTGGGGGAGGTTTAGATTGGATATTAGGAAAAACTTTTTCACTAAGAGGGTGGTGAAACACTGGAATGCGTTACCTAGGGAGGTGGTAGAATCTCCTTCCTTAGAGGTTTTTAAGGTCAGGCTTGACAAAGCCCTGGCTGGGATGATTTAACTGGGAATTGGTCCTGCTTTGAGCAGGGGGTTGGACTAGATGACCTTCTGGGGTCCCTTCCAACCCTGATATTCTATGATTCTATGACCTCTCATCCGTTAGTTCTTTCCTTTACAGTGATAACTGAAGCTGTCAAGTTAAGTGAGAAATCTCTTTTTATATCCCACCAGTATAACTCAATGTATCAAAGCCACAGACAAGTTGACAACATAGGTCATCTGTATCCACTCTACCTACTTACTTGGCCTCAACACTGTAGTGTCAAGTATCAGTGTCTAACCTAGTACTTATTATTAAGTCAGTCCTTCGCAAGAATAATAAAAGCTATCCTTCAAAATAGGGATGTCAATTAATTGCAGTTAACTCACGTGATTAACTCAAAAAAATTAATCGTGATTAAAAAAATTAATCACACTTATAACAATAGAATAACAATTGAAATTTATTAAATATTTTGGAGGTTTTTCTACATTTTCAGTATTGATTTCAATTACAACCCAGAATACTAAGTGCTCAGTGCTCATTTTATATTATTTTTATTACAAATATTTGCACTGTAAAAATGATAAAAGAAACAGTATTTTTCAGTTCACTTCATACAAGTACTGAAGTGCAATCTCTTTATCGTGAAAGTGTAACTTATAAATGTAGACCTTTTTTTATTACATAACTGCAGTCAAAAACAAAGCAGTGTAAAACTTTAGAGCCTACAAGTCCCCTCAGTCCTACTTCTTATTCTGCCAATTGCTAAGGCAAACAAGTTTGTTTACATTGACAGGAGATACTGCTGCCTGCTTCTTATTTACAGAACAGGCATTCATGTGGCACTTTTGTAGCTGGTGTTGCAAGGTATTTACATGCCAGATATGCTAAACGTTTGTATGCCCCTTCGTGTTTCGGCCACCATTCCAGAGGACATGCTTCCATGCTGATGATGTTCATTTTAAAAAAAAAAATGCATCAGTTAATTCGTGATTGTACTCCTTGGAGGGGAGAATTGTATGTTTCCTGCTGTTTTATCCACATTCTGCATATATTTCATGTTAGAGCAGTCTCGGATGATGACCCAGGACATGTTCGTTTTAAAAACACTTTCGCAGCAGATTTGACAAAACGCAAAAAAGGTACCTATGTGAGATTTCTAAAAACAGCTACAGCACTCGACCCAAGGTTTAAGAATCTGAAGTGCCGTCCAAAATCTGAGAGGGATGAGGTGTGGAGCATGCTTTTAGAAGTCTTAAAAAAGCAATACTCCAATGCGGAAACTACAGAACCTGAACCACCAAAAAAGAAAATCAACCTTCTGCTGGTGGCATCTGACTCAGACGATGAAAATGAACATGCGTCAGTCCGCACTGCTTTGGATCATTATCAAGCAGAACCCATCATCAGTATGGAAGCATGTCCTCTGGAATGGTGGTTGAAGCCTGAAAGGATATGTGAATCTTTAGCACATCTGGCACATAAATATCTTGCAACGTCAGCTACAACAGTGCCATGCAAACACCTGTTCTCACTTTCAGGTGACATTGTAAACAAGAAGCAGGCAGCATTATCTTGTTTGTTTGAGTAATTGGTTGACCAAGAAGTAGGACTGCGTGGTCTTGTAGGCCCTAAAGTTTTACATTGTTTTACTTTTGAATGCAGTTTTTTTCTACATAATTCTACATTTGTAAGTTCAATTTTCATGATAAAGAGATTGCACTGCAGTACTTATGAGGTGAATTGAAAAATTTTCTCTTTGTTTTTTACAGTGCAAATATTTGTAATAAAAATAAATATAAAGTGAGCACTTTACACTCTGTATTCTCTGTTGTAATTGAAATTAATATATTTGAAAATGTAGTAAACATCCAAATATATTTTAAATAAATGGTATTCTATTGTTTAATAGCACGATTAATCACAATTAATTTTTAATTGCTTAACAGGCCTACTTCAAAAATAAAAATACCTGACAAAAAGCTGTTTTTCTTTTACTTGTCAAATCCGTAGTTGACTGAGAGCTGTAACGTTCAAGAAAAAAAATATTGTTTCTCAAAACTGCAGTTTTTTTCTTGTTATCCATTATTCACAGGTTTTCTTATCATAGCACTCCTTGGACGTGTATTTCTGTGTTACATATCAGCCTTCTGCTTTTTGGTGCCATAACATTTCTTTTCAATTCTCCTGCTGAGGTGAGAATTTTGAAGAAGGTATGAGATTCCCAGCAGGACTGCTATCTAGGAGGAGGTGAGAGAGGAACTCTTGTGCTGGCAACTTTGAACAGTTCTTTCTCAGAGGCAGACATAAGGTTGCAGCCTTTCAGCTCATAATAGTGCTAGACAATGACCTGCTGAGAGAGACGAGCTCTTTGCCATCTCAATCATGACTACCCCCTCTCCTCCCCCCAAAAATATTACATGATAAACATACATAACTTCTTGGGGGACAGCCTCTTAGCAGGTGAAACTTTTGGAAACAATGTTATGTTAACACGCTTTGTATGGATAATAAAAAGTACACTAAACCATGCAGCTTTAACCAAATCAAAAGTTAATAGTGTAACTTAAGACATTTGAATCAAGAGTTTAAAACTCACTGAAAGTGGCATTAAAAGAATAAGAATATTAATAATAGGTCAACAACAATAATTTAATCTGAGTCTATATCTTGTGATTGAAGGAATCTGTGCTCCTATGTGTTATAAATAGTGCAACAAAATGCATGTTTTGTTGGGGAAACCTACTTTGAGGTTTGCACATGAATTCTGATGCAGTTTATAGACTCTCTCTTGGGAAATGTCTATATAAATTGTCTTCCAATTGCTTTCTTTTAATTTGTTTAAAAGGAAGTACATATGCATCTACTCTTGGTTCCTTTAACTCTGAATGATCTTTCTCTTTGCTTGTGATTTCCCCCTCTGGATTATTTTAAACCTCCTACTTCTCTGGAGAGTCTAGGGTGCATGTTTAATTGCTTACAGGTAAGGTTGCCAGGCAAACCACTCCTCCTTCTTGTTGCTGTGTTTCAAGCACTGAGAATTATCCTGTTTTGCCTCTTTAGCAGTGGCTAAACTATATTTATACAACATAAACAAGAATATAGTAGAGCAGGGAAAAATGTTCTAAGATTTCCAGCTCAATTTGTCAAAATATGCTTCCTCAGTGAATAGTTCCAAGTATATATTCATATTACACTTTACTGTTCCTCATAAATAATGCAAATCATAATAACATTCTAATTTTGATCTTAATTTTTAAAAAAATATACCCCTATAATGGGAAAAATTAAGTAAGATTTATCAGGATGTTTTTTTCCTCCCTATGAATGTTAAGTAAAATTATTTGGATATGATAAATTCTTTACGTTAATTCATTGTCCTCTTCTGTTTTAACAATTAGCATAGTTTATTGTAACAGTTTCTTGATGTAGCTGTATTTTCTTTCATATACATAAGAGTGTAGCTTTCTGGTATTTGAATGTAAAATCAAAAAGGAAGTAAATGGACAACATACTACTTATTCTCACATCTCGTCCACAACATGCATATTTATCTTTATTATTAGCTGTTATTTTCTCTACTGTTAATTAAGTCAGGTCAGAATATGAAGTGGAGAATTCTTGGTTTTCAGTGATTGCCTGGAATCTGAATGATGTTACCGGTCCAATGTGGGCCAGGAAATTGAAGCGTCAGTTAACTTTTGAAGTGATAGAGACACTTCAGTGCTTTGATGCACACAGTCAGAATAAAGTTCTATCTTGTAATGGTTCATAAATCGCTTGGATGATCAGTTTAAATAATGTTAACAATTGGCCCATCTCAGTGTATTTGGCAGCAAGAGGTAGGTAGAACAGCTGTAACCAGGCTAACCAGTCCTGGATCATCCAGATGACTCAGGCCTGTTTTGCACATGGGTGATAGAGTTGCTTTTTGGATGTAGAGCTCAACAAACCTCTGGCCCCTAATCAGCCTCATACATGCCCTATCTAACGCCCTTCTCTCTGCTGTAGTCCTGGGGAATCCCTCATCAGTTCAGTGGCAGGAGAAATGGAAGGGGCATACTTTTGTCTTGGTTTATTTATTGGGAGGTTGTGTATGCCTCTGTTCGTGGTTCAATCTGAGCTGTGAATCATCAATCCCCATAATTACTAGGTGGGACATTCTCAGACCCCTTTCCACCCACAATCTCTTTTCTTGGATGGTATTTCTGTTTTGAAGCTGTTCCTTTTTAAGGGTCCTTTGGCTAATTGTCATTTAGCTGGAGAGGTACCTAGTCTTTGTTGTAATTGCAGCTGAGGCACTGAACATGCTCTGTGCTTTCCTGGAGTCATTCACCAGTGCTCAATTGCAATATGTGATAATTGGGGTGGAGTGACTCTCTTTGAATCTGCTCTGAGAAAAGAATGGTTTTGGGGAGCCCGTTAGATGTAATAGCCTCATCAGAGAGACTCTTCCCCCCCCCCCCCCCCCCTCAGGATCTACCAAGCATCCATGGGTGCAGAGCTCAAATACACTATGCAGCTACTGCAGCGTCTGCACTCTGGAAGTTGCTTAGACCAACATTGGCTCATACACCTGTAAAGACATCAAAAGAAATTTTCATGTGGTTATCATCACAGCTGTAGAACAAGGAAGGCAGTGTTAGTTTCTTAACTATTTTATGAGAGAGTTGCACTACTCTTGCAGTTAAAATGCTTGGATCTTGTGACTGAATTTTAATGCATGCTGAAAGCAGCATTGTATTAATATACCATTGCATACAGTAGTTCTGGTTACTGGCATTTCTCTTAGGGAGTGTAATGGCATGCACCTACCTCTTGCGAGTGTCCCCTTCAGGTTGGGTGTGACTGCAGTCTTTAAACAGTCCTAGCCCTAGGACCAGGCCGTACTTCCAGGGCTTCTTCCCTGGAGGCAATGGTTTTGACCTAGCTGGGCCCCTAAGTAATTCAGATCCCCTTCTTGGGGTTTATCACTGTCCAATTCTAGGCCATTTTCCCAGTGGCCTATGGTGGTGGGGGAGGGAACCCGGGCCCACCCACTGCTCCAAGTCCCAGCCCAGGGACCCTAAGAATAGCAGCCATACGCCACCGTGTCCCTTTAACAAAAGTGTTTTCAGTTCCCTGGGCCACTTCCACATGGCCCCAGCCTTCACCAGTCCTTCAACCTTACCTTAGGGCTCTTCTATGTTCAGGCCCAGCAGCCAGCCAGGAGCTCCTTTTTGCTCCCCCAGTCCCTGCCAGCATTGAGCTGTCCATGGTGCTGCAGTTCTCTTTGACCAGTCAAGAGCACCAGCTGAACTCCTCTAGCTCCAGCAAGGAACTGACTGTGGTCTGCACTGCAGCTCCTTTTGTACTGATTAGCTAGCCCCTTGCAGCATCCCCAGATTCACCATGTCCCACTCAATCTGTCTAAGAAGCTTAGAGGACCTCTCTACTGCTCTTTTTCTGGGACAGGTGTTGCAGGACCCTGAGGCCTCCAGCTGGGGGCCTCTTGGCCTATTCCACCCCATCCTATGGAGAAAGGAACTTATCAAAAAAAAGTAAGTAGATGATGAATAATACTGAGGGAATAATTAGAGATACTGCATCTTCAAGATCTACTAGAATCAGCACATCATTTATGGAAAATCTACCAATGGTATACCTTGGGAAATTTTGCAGTTCAGATCTGCTTTTCTTAACACCATATGAAGAATCTCTTCATTATTCTGTTGTCAGAATAACACCTTTCTATCCTCACCCTATCTCCTTTTTGTTATTTAGCAGGCTTTAGCTACGGACGAAGAAGTATTCAGTCAAAAGGAGCTTGAGCTGAAGGTATTACAGGATCAAATACTGACATTGATACAGGAAAACCAAGAACATCTGGAATCTCTTAAAGAGGCACAAGAAACAAATAAATTACAGGTAGGTTTTCCTCTTGCACATTTTACTGTGTAAGTTTGGTTCAAATAAGATGCATATTAGAATGCAGTAATTACTATAGTTATTAAAATTTGGGCCATATTTTGCAGCCCTCAGGCAAGTTATTTTCTTATCAATGAGAATTTTGTCTCAGGCTGTACTATTTATTCCTTAGATTCCATAACTGTGACCATTTATGAGAAAATTATCTTTGTCTAGTGGCTAAAATACAGAACTGAGACTCAGGAGATCTGTATTCTAGTCTACTGCAGACTTACTGCATGACCTTAGGTGAATCACTTAATGTCAGTTGTTCCCTGTCCCATCCGTAAAACAAGAACAGTAATATTTACCAACATTACTGGAGAGTAGTGTCTCTTAATTCTTCAATATTTGTAAAGCTTTTTGAGATCTTTGGGTGGAAGGGGTTATAGAAGTGTCTGTTGTATTATAATACTAAAAAGTTTAGAGGTGAAATCTTGGCACCACTAAATTAATTGAAGTTAATGGGAGCTTTGTCAATGGGACAGGATTTCAGCCTAAATATATAGGAAGATTTGCTAACACAGGAATCAGGGTAGCAGAGTGGAGACACTACTTTCCCCTCCATTTGGAGCATTTCTCAATAAAATAATTATGATGGGTTTAGTCAATTGCCTGGTAGCCAGAGGACCATCAGATTACAAGTGGAATATTCAATCAATTTCTCCTAAAATTGACGATCTCATAAGATCCACAAATATTACCATCCCCTAAAACTTATGAAGAAAATAAGTTGTAAATATTCCAAGTATGGGAGAATCAGTGCTGTTCTCCTCATTCTCCTTTTTCTGTCTTTATCCTATCTTATCTTCCCTTCTCCTCCTCCCTCTGTTGATGCCTAATGAGCAGGTCACTGCGTAATGTGACATAAAAGGTGAGTAAGCCAATTATCACCTTCTTCTTCTCTTGCTCCTTCTCTTCCTTTTCTGCAATTTCTGGTGAGGTACAGGTCATTTTTACCTTGACTAGCTACACTGAGGTAAAAACTACCTGTGCCTTGTCTCCACTGAGATTTTATGCTGAGATAGCTTTCTCAGCGTAAAATCCATTTTGATGTAAAAACACATCTGTTTTCAGTGAAGATACAGAGGTTAAGAGATTTGCCTAAGTCACACATCAAGACAGTGGCAGACCCAGGATTAGAATTTTAGAGTTCCTGGCTAACTTGTAAGTTCACTAAACCATCCCTTTCTATTTAAAATAAAAATAAAAATCAACTCTATGAATCAAATAGTTTTTAATAGCATTCACAAGAATATGTGATTTGATTGGCACTTCAAATTGGATCAGAACTGTAAAAGTAAATTGCAGTACATACACATGGTATTATGTGCAAATATCATATCTTAAGCAACTGAATGTTGCCTGACACTTCCCATTGTAAAACCTTATTTTCAATAGCTTATAAACTTTCCAAACTTAAACGATTTGGACTAAAATTTTCCATGTTGGGTGTGTCTGATTTATTTAGTTATTTTCATTTCAGCAGAAACATTTCAGTCATTTTTGAGAATGAAGTTAGGGGAAAATAAATTATTTTTCTGTGTTAAAAAGAAATTCTTACAAACATTTAGCTGATAAGTTCTACTGCTACTGTGTTTTGGAGCACGGACTTGAAATTTGGCAGGGGATTGCCCTGTTGTCCCCATGGAGAAAACATTCAAATCTGGCCAAGTTTTAATCCTTTGAAAATTGTAAGTTTTGCACATGATCAGTAGAGACTTGTTAAGCATTTTGCAGCTAAATTTCTCAAAGATTCCATGTATACTGAGACTGCTCCATCCTGGGGAATCAGGGTCTGAGCAAGACTTCCCCTGCAGCGGCTTCTCCTGGTTGCTATGAGCCAGTGTGGTGAACTGTTTTGAACAATGTTTTGAACAATGCACAAAGACTGTTGTGGGAAAGGCAGATAAGTAGGTTCTCCAGACTAGCATCATTGGCAGAGTTGTGTGGGGCAGGCAAGATCAAACCAAAGTCCTGATCCTGCAAATGTTTATGTACATACTTTTATTTATATGAGTTCACTTACTTGAATGGAACTACTTGTTGAGCAAACATACACATTGTGCTTTAGGATCAGGCTCCAAGGTTGTAACTTCCATTTTGAATATCAATTTTGGCTGACTCATATTTTGTTCTTTTCCAATTATGCATTAATAAAGCAAATATGGACTCATAAGTATCCCCTCCAGCTCTTTTAATCTTCTTGTATAACATACCTGAGATGGGCCTGTTTGAAAAGGTTAATGATGTTTTTAACAAACCTTTTTGAAGTTTGTTCATTATGCGGTGCATATTTTTAGATTAATTTAATTAAAATTGTATGTTTTAGAATTCAAAGATTTTGCACCTCCATCAAATTTTCTATTTCAAGTTAGCACTGGTGCATTGCATAAACTTAAGCCTTGCAAGAGAATTTAGGTTCAGTGTGCTACACCAAACACAGCACCCTGCTAATAGCTTTACCATTCAAACCAATGTGTTTGTGGTTAGAGTAATGTAAATATAATGTAGAGCTGGCACCTAACAGGGGGTTTTTTTGTTTGTTTTGTTTTTTGAGAATGAGAAAATGGTGGAACAGCAACTCCTTATTGATCAGCTGAAAGATAAGTTAGAGAAGCTTACTGTGACTACAGCTTCAGTATCCAGAAGTGCTTGTGGAGATGGGCCAGCTGCTATGACATCTGCAAGAAGACCATATAGTGTGCCACTCACTAATAGTTTAGTACATTCCATTCATATGGCTACAGGCCTGGAGTCCCGAAAGGTAATGACTAAACACATTTTTTATTTTTCTCCTTCATTTTGTAATTATTCTGATTTTGGTACAAGAGTTGAAAGGAGATACTAACAGTTGCAGTGACATTTTCTGTTTATATCACATTAAAGAGTGTGAAACATTAATTTCTGATCTGTGGCAACGTACACAGCACCAATTTATCCAGTGCAAATGTATTTGTACAACCTCCAGTACAAAGGGGCTGCACTCCTGAGTGGGCCTTTAGGTGCGAGTAAAATACAAATAATTACTAATAATGATATATTTATTCTGTACTAATTCCAAGAAAAGAGTGCTATGTACTGATTTGCCAGTATCCCATTCTGTAACAGTTGGAACCAAATTCTCAAAAGTATCTCCATAGATTTTTCCAAAAAGAAATCCAGAAAACTTGCACAACCCTCCTCATTGTTTGCATGCAAGTGCAGGTGTTAGCAGATTTGTGTATGAAGTTGTAACAAGGCTGGTTCTGGTGGGACCCAACTGAGAATGCCAATTCAGGACAAACTGCTTAAAGCAGGGCAGTTACAGCCCAAGGCTGGGGTTTTTCCACCTCTAAGGCAAACCAAACCAGCCAGACAGAGAGGACTTTGGTTTTACCCCACTGGCTAAGCACAAGTCACACAAGCAATTCCTTAGACACTCCAGTTTCCCAGTATCACCACCAGTGCCACTCATTATGGGGACAGATGGTTATGAAAACCAATACCCCAGTAAAAGAGAAAAGGTTATCTCGATCCCAAAGGACCAAGGCCCAGACCCAGGTCAATATACAAGTTAGATCTTATCCACAAATCACACTGTTCCCAATCCTTTAGAATCTAAAATTTAAAGGTTTATTCATAAAAGGAAAAAGATATAGATGAGAGCTAGAATTGGTTAAATGGAATCAATTACATACAGTAATGGCAAAGTTCTTGGTTCAGGCTTGCAGCAGTGATAGAATAAACTGCAGGTTCAAATCAAGTCTCTGGAGAAGATCCACAGCTGGGATGGGTCTTTCAGTCCTTGGTTCAAAGCTTCAGTGTAGCAAAGTTCCTCCAGAGGTAAGAAGCAGGATTGAAGACAAGATGGAGGAGCTGCAGCAGCTTTTTATATTCTCTTGCCATGTGGTCGGTCTTTCTTTGTTCCAAAGACAAGCTGTCCATCACATGGCATGGAAAAACCTCGGAGTTCTGTCCATAGGCATGTCCCTGCATACCTTGCTGAGTCACAAGGCATGTCTGCCTTCTTTCAATGGCTCAGTTGTATAGCTGATGGCCCTTAATGAGTCATCAAGCAGGCTAGGCAGAGCTGACACCAACTCGTCTGGGGTGTCACCCAGAAGCATAGCATAAATTTAAAAACAGACAGTATAGAGCCAATATTCGTAACTTCAATTACAAAAATGATACACACATATAGACAGCATAATCATAATCAGCAAACCATAACCTTGTCTTAGACACCTCATTTGACCCCCTTTATGTAAGATTTGGTGCCACTACAGGACCTTGGTTGCAATGATGATCTATACGGTTCCAGATTATGTCAATAATGTCACAGAAGTCCATTTGAAAAATCAGCCCTAAATATTCCTAGCTTTCTGCAAATGACTTTACCCCCGGTTTTATTTTTGGGGTCTCTTGGAAGGTACACACCAGCCCTCCTACTTACTCACTGGCCCGAGTAATGGCTGGATTTCAGACTCGCAGGCAAATGATATTGGGTCATATAGAAGACCAAGATGAAGTCCTTCACTGCCACTTCTCTGATCATAGTGATGAAGAAGAAAGGAACACAGACAGCAAAAAGAAATCAGCATTTAGGTAATCTTTTTGTTGTTGTTTTATTCAGTCTTTAAAGCTTTCACTCAGAAAGAGCTATATTACTGCCAAATACTGGCATATCATGGAGCCAGTTTACAGTGTCATTTTATGTAAATTTGTAGAACCTCCTGACATCACAAAATAAGTGAACACAATAGGTATTGCTAATGACCTACTCTATTCCATTTAACATAGCTTTAGATTGAACGCCTCTTCACTTTAATAAGTATGTCTTGATCCAAGGATCTACTTGCAGGACCTGAAGGGAGCAGGTGGTGGTAAAAGTAGATTTATGACACACATGCAAGTCTTTGTAGATTTGGGACCTAGTGCATTAGGATTATATAATCTGGTATGAAATTTTTAAAAAATCATAAATTTGGAATATGGATTGGTTTTTAATTTCTTTTTAGGCGTTCCATAAACCGCACATGGACACGAAAACAGACTCTTCTTTGTTCTCCCCTTCAACTGACTGATCTACAGTTCCAAATGCACAAGTCCAATTTATCAAATGAAACCACACTGCAGACTGACACTGTCACAGGTAACAATTACAAATGGAAATTATGAGATACTAACATATGCTTATGTCACACCATGAAAACGTACATTTTTAGTGTTGTTAATCTTTTCCATTCAAACATGGACTTTAAAATAAAAATACTTCTGATGTCCTCATTTGGAATTGTTTTTAAATACTTTTTTTGTGAAGTACATTCATGTTCTTACTGGTTGGTGCTTTAAAAATAATATTTAACATTTATATAGTGTGCCACATATCCAGAGCATTGTGTAGATATTTAATTAATCCTCACAACACCTTTGTAAGTGATGGAGGTAAGTTGTATTATCCCTGTTTCACAGATAAAGTGAGACAGAAAAGTGAAGCAACTTGTAGAAGGCCACATGTGGCTGTAAGTACATTATTTCACTCCCCTTTGGGTCATGGAGCATCAGTGGGTATGTTAGCCAAGGACCTTTCTTTCCCAACTTAGTGCTCCTACTCTGTATCCTGTCCTGATTTTGTGCAGATGGCAGGTGGTGAGGAAGAGACTCCCTGTATCCTGTCTTTCTGATTCCCTCCCCAGTGTATGTGCAGAGAATAGGCCAGGATTTTGTCCTCTGGATATATAGCATGTTCCAGATCTTTCTTCTCAGCATTGCCCCTTTCTTTCAAGGTGAAGAGATTGAATGCCACCGTAAGAGTCGTGTAATAAACATGCAGAAATTAAAGGATTCAGAGCTGAGACTCACCGAGGCCAAGCAAAAGATGAGAGAACTTGCACTTAATATCAAAATGAAGGAGGAACTTATTAAAGAAATAGTAAAAACAGGTAACTGACTTGTGTAAAGCACATTTTAATTCAAAACATATACAGTATAACCTCAGAGTTATGAACACCTCAGGAATGGAGGTTGTTCGTAACTCTGAAATGTTCATAACTCTGAACTAAATGTTATGATCTTTCCAAAGTGTACAATTGAACATTGACTTAATACAGCTTTGAAACTTTACTATGCAGAAGAAAAATGCTGCTTTTAACCATCTTAATTAAAATGAAACAAGCACAGAAAGTTTCCTTACCTTGTCAGTTTTTTAAACTTTCCCTTTATTTTTTAGTAGTTTACATTTAACACAGTACTGCACTGTACAGTATTTGCTTTTTTTCTTTTTGTCTCTGCTGCCTGATTGTATACTTCCAGTTCCAAATGAGGTGAGTGGTTGACCACTCAGTTTGTAACTCTGAGGTTCTACTGTATGAAAGAAAGTAAGGATTAGCTATTTAATAGTCCTAGTTGTTTGTAATTAATATGTAATTAATCTTAATCAGTGGGGGCTATTATAAAATCATTAAGTTTTTGTCACTTCTTTTAATAATTGTTTACTAATTGTATTATCGTGGCCCCAGGGGCCCCAGATGTGGGTTGGGGCCCCACCATACATTCATTAAATATTTGGTGTGCTTTCCTAATGATTTTTTGTTCCATAAATATCTCCATATTTTTTCCATGTCATGTTCTACAAAGGGAATGTCCTTCTTGAACTTGGCTGCATTCAAATTCCTCTTGAAGATCTACTTCTACTTTCAGAGTGGTAGCTGTGTTAGTCTGTATCAGCAAAAAGAACGAGGCGTACTTGTGGCACCTTAGAGACTAACAACAAATTTATTTGAGCATAAGCTTTCATGGGCTAAAACCCACTTCATCAGATGCATGCAGTGGAAAATACAGCGGGGTGTGTGTGTATGAAAGCTTATGCTCAAATAAATTTGTTGTTAGTCTCTAAATTTGTTGTATACACACACACACACACACATACACAGAGAACATTAAAAAATGGGTGTTATCATACCAAGTATAATGAGAGTAATCACTTAAGGTGAGCTATTATCAGCAGGAGAAAAAAAAACTTTTGTAGCATGGGGACACATCAGCCACACGATCAGAGGTTCGTTCACCTGCACATCTACCAATGTGATATATCCATCATGTGCCAGCAATGCCCCTTTGCCATGTACATTGGCCAAACCGGACAGTCTCTACGTAAAAGAATAAATGGACACAGATCAGACGTCAAGAATTATAACATTCAAAAACCAGTCGGAGAACACGTCAATCTCCGTGGTCACTCGATTACAGACCTAAAAGTCGCAATACTACAACAAAAAAACTTCAAAAACAGACTCCAACGAGAAACTGCTGAATTGGAATTAATTTTCAAACTGGACACCATTAAATTAGGCTTGAATAAAGACTGGGAGTGGATGGGTCATTACACAAAGTAAAACTATTTCCCCTGCTACAAAAGTTTTTTTATTTTTTTTTCTCCTGCTGATAGTAGCTCACCTTAACTGATTACTCTCGTTATGCTTGTACGGCAACACCCATTTTTTCATGTTCTCTGTGTCTATGTGTCTGTCTGTCTATCTCTGCCTACTGTATTTTCCACTGCATGCATCCGATGAAGTGGGTTTTAGCCCACAAAAACTTATGCTCAAATAAATTTGTTCGACTCTAAGTTGCCACAAGTACTCCTCGTTCTTTTTACTTCTACTTTGACACTTGCCAGAAACTAGCTGCCAATAATAAGAGTGTTACTGAGAATAGTCTATGTATATTTTTGGTAACTGGGTTATAAATACTTTGTACTATCCAGGTGAGTCCTATCAACATCTGGCATCTTATCTGTATATTGTACTCCTTCCCCTGCCTTGTGCCTGTTTGTTAGGGTATTCGATTGTGAATTCTTAGGGAAAGAACTATGCCTTTTTTTCTGATTGGAACGTGTCTGGTACGCTGTGGGTGTTACCTGAAATAAATGCTAAGTAGTAATAAATTCTTTAGATGTATAATTAAGGATTAGATTTTCATATGGAATTTGGAAATAGTGGGGTTTTTTTTTTCAATAACGCAATTTTTCAAGAAATTTTGTAATATTTTGTTTTTAAGGCAATGATGCTCAGTCTGTAAGCAGGCAGTACTCTTTGAAAATAACTAAACTGGAACATGAAGGTGAGCAAGCCAAGATAGAATTAGCTGAAACACAAAAGCAGCTTCAGGAGCTGGAGAACAAGGAGCTGAGAGACATTGCTGAGAAAGCCAAGTTACAAAAAGAGTTTCGGAAGAAAATGGATACAGCTAAATTAAAAGTGCAGGTAGTTTTTGATTTTTGTCATTAGGAGTTATGAATTACTGCTCTATCCCATAGAACACTTAGGGCCTAATCATCTGCTCTGTTACACAAGTTTTATGCCAATGTGACTTCATTGAAGTCAGTGTAATTACAGTAGATAATCAGGCCCTCAATGTACCAATAGTTGGTACTTGCATGTGTCAAACAATATCCTTATGTGAGAAGTGTATTTTCTTACTAGAAAGGTGGACAAAAAAGAGATTATTGGATAGCATGGATGTGCTCACATACCATGGTGTTTGGCATTTGGTAAGAACTTAGGGAGAAAGTTTGCAAATCAATTTAAAGCAATCTGCTTTGTAGCACAAGTCTTCTAACAAAATACCACACTAAATCCTAAACCTGTGCAAATATCAGTGGACTTGTTTACTGCTATTTGTCCTAAGATGTGTTTTTTGTTTCTTTAAGTGTTTATGCTGTTAGACTGAAATATGCCATGTGAATTCAGGTCTTACAGAAGAAGCAGCAGGACACTAAGAAGTTGGCATCATTATCTACCCAAAATGAGAAACGGGCTACAGAACTTGAGCAGACTGTGAATCATATGAGGCAGCAGCAGGCTCAGCTACAGAAAAGACTGCGAGAGGAAAGTGAAAAAAAGAAAATTCTTGAGGCAGAGATTGCAAGGGACCAACAGCAAATCAAAGTAAGAGGCTATCTTTTCTGTATAATGGATAAGCATATAGTACAGTTTCACCCCATCACTTTCTCATAGATCATGATGCATAACTATAAGGCTTCCCATAAATACAAGGAATGCCATTCAAAGTAGGAAAAATCAAAATGCATACAAAATCTTTTCACCTACAATTTTTACAAATTACTTTCTTCTTCTTCATGCTTTTTTATTTTACTGTCCATCTCCTATCATTACAATACAGCTTCCATTAGTGGAATGAAAATCTTATATCTTATATACTGACATGGGCTCCTTCAGAAAAAAACTAAATGTGATGACAATAGACTCAACGAGGCTAGGAAAATAGTTTTATCTTTCTTACTTACAGGAACTTCAGTTAAAGACAGAGCAACAGCAGAAAATTCTCAAACTTAAAAATGAAGAGATTGCTGCTTTTAAAAAGAAGAAAAACTTGGCAGAAACTTCACAGCAATTACAGGTAGCTAATTTATTCCAAATTTGGTGGGCCTTGAAAAGCAAGGGGAGGGGAGACAAAACTCATTATCCCCCACCCCACCTCTTGATTAGCCTTGTGTGGGAGGAGGGAAGATTCTGTTTCCTGATTGGCAGAACTCTACTCAAATCAATTGTTAGATGCCCTTCTTTCTTTGAAGCAGGGATAAATTGGCCATCAAAGGTAAAGAGAAAGGTAATCCTCCAGCAGGGAGCAGGAATAACTTCTGCCTGCCTGCTTGCCCTCACTCTCAGTGATGGTTTTAGTTTGGCTTTATTGTGGTACAATGAACTTAGTTTCTGGTTGGCACAGGGGTACAAGGTTTCTGCTGTACTTGCTTACAGGCTCTGGATTGTGGCTGATTGTCGCTCAGAGTTGTAAAAGACTTTTGCCAGCAGCTGGAAGGGGTGTTTTACCCTTTCCTCTGGTCATCCACTAGGTGAGGCTAGCTGGTGGGTTGGAGGGTGATGAATTGGGTTTTTTCCCCCAAATGTGGACAGTTTCAAGGCTCTCTTCATAGAGCTTCTGTTACTTGTGGCAACTTTAGTGTGGCAACCTCTGTGACAATGCCATCTAGATTATTCCAAGCCTGAACATAGGACCAAGAGTGAATGGGCAACCGAGTGCAGTGGGTGGTAGGATGGGGTGCAGAAAGCATTTAAGACTGAGAAAAAATTAGAGGCACCATTGTCTGTGTCCAGCTCTTCATGAGGGAAGTGTTGGTTCAGGGCTGGATGCCTATGGTCAGTATTCTCTTCAATCTGCGGTATTGGCTGCTCCAGCATTAGCAGTGTTGGGAGCTAATGTAGCCAGCTTTTTGGCTCCAGCTGTTATTTTCAGTACTTCGTTGATGTTATGAACTGCCCTTCCTCCAGTGCAATTCAGTTAGGTTCAAGAGAGACCTAGGTGGATTTTAACCATTTATTGAAAACGACAATAGAATCCAAATATGTGATCCTGAGCTACAGTACAGAAAGTAAAATAAAGACTCTCTCTCCCTGTTGGTGATCTGGCGAGGCGTATCGGTTGCGGGCAGATGAACCTTCTTCTGTGTTCAGAGTCTGTCACCTCGCCACCACACGGATTAGCTGTAACACTCCCCCATATATCTTAAGTTATGCATGCACCTTGTGATGGCCACAAGCAGGGCTTAAATTCAGCCAGAGCTGTCCGGAGTGGAGCTCCAGTAAATATTTTCAAACTTGCAGAGCTGAAGCCCTGAGCCCTGGTGTGTTCCCTGGTGCTGAAACGCTGAATCCTGGCGCCTCCCCATGAGGTTGAAGCCTTGAGCCCTGGTGCTGAGACGCCCACCACTCCACAGCTGAAGCCTGGAGCACTGCTACCACACAGGGCAGAAGCCCCTAGCCCCACCACACCGCCATAGGGTAGAAGCCCTGAGCTCCTCCCCACCCCCCAGCTTAGCAGCTGACACGGAGCCCCAAATCCTCCCCTACCCCTGCTGGGTTCTGGAGTTTTTATAGCATGTTGGGGGTGACATGGGGGGCTCCAGGAAATAATGTATGAGACTTTAATAGGCAGCAGGTTTAAAACAAGCAAAAAAGGAAGTATTTCTTCACACAGTGAACCTGTGGAACTCTTTGCCAGAGGATGCTGTGAAGGCCAAGACTGTAACAAGGTTAAAAAAAGAACTAGATAAATTCACAGAGGATAGGTCCATCAATGGCTATTAGCCAGAATGGACAGGGATAGTGTCCTTAGCCTCTGTTTGCCAGAAGCTGGGAATGGGCGACCGGGGATCAATCACTTGAAGCACCTGGCATTGGCCCCTGTCGAAAAACAAGATACTGGACTAGATGGACATTTGGTCTGAGCCAGTATGGTTGCTCTTGTGTTCTTATGTCACATTTACAGCATGTCCAGACATGCCCAATCACGGTTCCCTCTACTGCCAGAAAATGTGAAATACATGCTGAGAAGATAAACATTAAGGGTATGTCTACACGACTGAATAAGGTCAAATTTATAGAAGTCGTTTTTTTAGAAATCGGTTTTATATATTCGAGTGTGTGTGTCCCCACAGAAAATGCTCTAAGTGCATTAAGTGCATTAACTCGGCGGAGCGCTTCCACAGTACCGAGGCTAGAGTCGACTTCCGGAGCGTTGCACTGTGGGTAGCTATCCCACAGTTCCCGCAGTCTCCGCTGCCCATTGGAATTCTGGGTTGAGATCCCAATGCCTGATGGGGCTAAAACATTGTCGCGGGTGGTTCTGGGTACATATCGTCAGGCCCCCGTTCCCTCCCTCCCTCCGTGAAAGCAAGGGCAGACAATCGTTTCGCGCCTTTTTTCCTGAGTTACCTGTGCAGACACCATACCACTGCAAGCATGGAGCCCGCTCAGGTAACCGTCACCCTATGTCTCCTGGGTGTTGGCAGACGCGGTACGGCTTTGCTACACAGTAGCAGCAACCTATTGCCTTCTGGCAGCAGACGGTGCAATACGACTGGTAGTCGTCCTCGTCGTGTCCGAGGTGCTCCTGGCCACGTCGGCTGGGAGCGCCTGGGCAGACATGGGCGCAGGGACTAAATTTGGAGTGACTTGACCAGGTCATTCTCTTTAGTCCTGCAGTCAGTCCTATTGAACCGTCTTATGGTGAGCAGGCAGGCGATACGGATTGCTAGCAGTCGTACTGTACCATCTTCTGCCAGGCAGGCAAGAGATGAGGATTGCTAGTAGTCGTATTGTACCATCTTCTGCCAGGCAGGCAAGAGATGAGGATGGCTAGCAGTCGTACTGTACCATCTTCTGCCGAGCAGCCATGAGATGTGGATGGCATGCAGTCCTTCTGCACCGTCTGCTGCCAGCCAAAGATGTAAAAGATAGATGGAGTGGATCAAAACAAGAAATAGACCAGATTTCTTTTGTACTCATTTGCCTCCTCCCCTGTCTAGGGGACTCATTCCTCTAGATCACACTGCAGTCACTCACAGAGAAGGTGCAGCGAGGTAAATCTAGCCATGTATCAATCAGAGGCCAGGCTAACCTCCTTGTTCCAATAAGAACGATAACTTAGGTGCACCATTTCTTATTGGAACCCTCCGTGAAGTCCTGCCTGAAATACTCCTTGATGTACAGGCACCCCCTTTGTTGATTTTAGCTCCCTGAAGCCAACCCTGTAAGCCGTGTCGTCAGTCGCCCCTCCCTCCGTCAGAGCAACGGCAGACAATCGTTCCGCGCCTTTTTTCTGTGCGGACGCCATACCAAGGCAAGCATGGAGGCCGCTCAGCTCACTTTGGCAATTAGGAGCACATTAAACACCACACGCATTATCCAGCAGTATATGCAGCACCGGAACCTGGCAAAGCGATACCGGGCGAGGAGGCGACGTCAGCGCGGTCACGTGAGTGATCAGGACATGGACACAGGTTTCTCTGAAAGCATGGGCCCTGCCAATGAATGCATCATGGTGCTAATGGGGCAGGTTCATGCTGTGGAACGCCGATTCTGGGCTCGGGAAACAAGCACAGACTGGTGGGACCGCATAGTGTTGCAGGTCTGGGACGATTCCCAGTGGCTGCGAAACTTTCGCATGCGTAAGGGCACTTTCATGGAACTTTGTGACTTGCTTTCCCCTACCCTGAGGCGCATGAATACCAAGATGAGAGCAGCCCTCACAGTGAGAAGCGAGTGGCGATAGCCCTGTGGAAGCTTGCAACGCCAGACAGCTACCGGTCAGTTGGGAATCAATTTGGAGTGGGCAAATCTACTGTGGGGGCTGCTGTGATGCAAGTAGCCCACGCAATCAAAGATCTGCTGATATCAAGAGTAGTTACCCTGGGAAATGTGCAGGTCATAGTGGATGGCTTTGCTGCAATGGGATTCCCTAACTGTGGTGGGGCCATAGATGGAACCCATATCCCTATCTTGGCACCGGAGCACCAAGCCGCCGAGTACATAAACCGCAAGGGGTACTTTTCAATAGTGCTGCAAGCTCTGGTGGATCACAAGGGACCTTTCACCAACATCAACGTGGGATGGCCGGGAAAGGTGCATGACGCTCGCATCTTCAGGAACTCTGGTCTGTTTCAAAAGCTGCAGGAAGGGACTTTATTCCCAGACCAGAAAATAACGGTTGGGGATGTTGAAATGCCTATATGTATCCTTGGGGACCCAGCCTACCCCTTAATGCCATGGCTCATGAAGCCGTACACAGGCAGCCTGGACAGTAGTCAGGAGCTGTTCAACTACAGGCTGAGCAAGTGCAGAATGGTGGTAGAATGTGCATTTGGACGTTTAAAGGCGCGCTGGCGCAGTTTACTGACTAGCTTAGACCTCAGCGAAACCAATATTCCCACTGTTATTACTGCTTGCTGTGTGCTCCACAATATCTGTGAGAGTAAGGGGGAGACGTTTATGGCGGGGTGGGAGGTTGAGGCAAATCGCCTGGCTGCTGGTTACACGCAGCCAGACACCAGGGCGGTTAGAAGAGCACAGGAGGGCGCGGTACGCATCAAAGAAGCTTTGAAAACCAGTTTCATAACTGGCCAGGCTACGGTGTGAAAGTTCTGTTTGTTTCTACTTGATGAAACCCCCCGCCCCTTGGTTCACTCTACTTCCCTGTAAGCTAACCACCCGCCCCTCCTCCCTTCAATCACCGCTTGCATAGGCAATAAAGTCATTGTTGCTTCACATTCATGCATTCTTTATTCATTCATCACACAAATAGGGGGATGACTACCAAAGTAGCCCAGGTGGGGTGGTGGAGGAGGGAAGGAAAATGCCACACAGCACTTTAAGCACAGCACTTTAAAAGTTTACAACTTTAAAATTTATTGAATGACAGCCTTCTTTTTTTGGGGCAATCCTCTGTGGTGGAGTGGCTGGTTGGCCGGAGGCCCCCCCACCGCGTTCTTGGGCGTCTGGGTGTGGAGGCTATGGAACTTGGGGAGGAGGGCTGTTGGTTACAGAGGGGCTGCAGTGGCAGTCTGTGCTCCAGCTGCCTTTGCTGCAGCTCAACCATACACTGGAGCATACTGGTTTGGTCCTGCAGCAGCTTCAGCATTGAATCCTGCCTCCTCTCATCACGCTGCCGCCACATTTGAGCTTCAGCCCTGTCTTCAGCCGGCCACCTCTCCTCCCGGTCATTTTGTGCTTTCCTGCACTCTGACATTATTTGCCTCCACGCATTCGTCTGTGCTCTGTCAGTGTGGGAGGACAGCATGAGCTCGGAGAACATTTCATCGCGAGTGCGTTTTTTTTTCTTTCTAAGCTTCACTAGCCTCTGGGAAGGAGAAGATCCTGTGATCATTGAAACACATGCAGCTGGTGGAGAAAAAAAAAGGGACAGCGGTATTTAAAAAGACACATTTTATAAAACAGTGGCTACACTCTTTCAGGGTAATCCTTGCTGTTAACATTACATACATAGTACATGTGCTTTCGTTACAAGGTCGCATTTTGCCTCCCCCCACCGCGTGACTACCCCCTCAACCTTCCGCCCTCTCTGTGGCTAACAGCAGGGAACATTTCTATTTAGCCACAGGCAAACAGCCCAGCAGGAATGGGCTCCTCTGAGTGTCCCCTGAAGAAAAGCACTCTATTTCAACCAGGTGACCATGAATTATATCTCACTCTCCTGAGGATAACACAGAGAGATAAAGAACGGATGTTGTTTGAATGCCAGCAAACATACACTGCAATGCTTTGTTCTACAATGATTCCCGAGTACGTGTTACTGGCCTGGAGTGGTAAAGTGTCCTACCATGAAGGACGCAATAAGGCTGCCCTCCCCAGAAACCTTTTGCAAAGGCTTTAGGACTACATCTAGGAGAACCGCGAATGCCAGGGCAAAGTAATCCTTTCACATGCTTGCTTTTAAACCATGTATAGTATTTTAAAAGGTACACTCACCAGAGGTCCCTTCTCCGCCTGCTGGGTCCAGGAGGCAGCCTTGGGTGGGTTTGGGGGGTACTGGCTCCAGGTCCAGGGTGAGAAACAGTTCCTGGCTGTCGGGAAAATCGGTTTCTCCGCTTGCTTGCTGTGAGCTACCTACAACCTCATCATCATCATCAACTTCTTCGTCCCCAAAACCTGCTTCCGTATTGCCTCCATCACCATTGAAGGAGTCAAACAACACGGCTGGGGTAGTGGTGGCTGAACCCCCTAAAATGGCATGCAGCTCATCATAGAAGCGGCATGTTTGGGGCTCTGACCCGGAGCGGCCGTTCGCCTCTCTGGTTTTCTGGTAGGCTTGCTTCAGCTCCTTCAGTTTCACGCGGCACTGCTTCGGGTCCCTGTTATGGCCTCTGTCCTTCATGCCCTGGGAGATTTTGACAAAGGTTTTGGCATTTCGAAAACTGGAACGGAGTTCTGATAGCACGGATTCCTCTCCCCAAACAGCGATCAGATCCCGTACCTCCCGTTCGGTCCATGCTGGAGCTCTTTTGCGATTCTGGGACTCCATCATGGTCACCTGTGCTGATGAGCTCTGCATGGTCACCTGCAGCTTGCCACGCTGGCCAAACAGGAAATGAGATTCAAAAGTTCGCGGTTCTTTTCCTGTCTACCTGGCCAGTGCATCTGAGTTGAGAGCGCTGTCCAGAGCGGTCAGAATGGAGCACTCTGGGATAGCTCCCGGAGGCCAATACCATCGAATTGTGTCCACAGTACCCCAAATTCGAGCCGGCAACGTCGATTTAAGCGCTAATCCACTTGTCAGGGGTGGAGTAAGGAAATCGATTTTAAGAGCCCTTTAAGTCGAAATAAAGGGCTTCATTGTGTGGACGGGTGCAGGTTTAAATCGATTTAACGCTGCTAAATTCGACCTAAAGTCCTAGTGTAGACCAGGGCCTAGTGTAGACCAGGGCTTAAATAAGAAGGACAAAGGTGCCACACCCTGGGGATACAGGAGCATCTAAGGGGTGGCCTGTATGGGAGCTCTCCAGTGTCCTGACATTGATTAAACCTGTTCAAAACAAGCCTTCAGTAGGACTTCACTTGGGCATAATATCCAAGCTAGCAGACCTTGATGTAGGACCAGTGTACTAGTTTTCTGACTTCAGTTGTTAATGTAGCTTTTAACTTCTCATTTTCTTTTCAATTGCTGTTTTCTGACAAGTAAATAGTCTTGATGAAATGTAATGTAACACCCTGTACCTGAGCTATAGAAATATTCTTAGGAAAATAACATGTATTTCAGCAAGGGCTGTTTTATACAAACATGTGCATAGCAGACTTTGCAATGTAATACTGCTGTGGTTTTTCAAATTTCTTCAGCCAAATAACTTCATTATCTTGAGTTCCAAATCAGGATTCTGTTGTAGAGTTACTGTTGTTAACACTAAGAATGTCAATTTTGGATTGTTATAGAAATCTGAAATTGATAGAATTATTATTCTAGATGAGAAAATACTGTACTTAAAGAATGCTGTGCAAAGGATGTACTTCTGAGCCCTGACTAATACTATATATCTTGATATTATTTTTTTAAAACGTAGAAACAGGAAGAGCAAAGGAAATGGTTAGATGAAGAACTAGAGAAGGTTCTGCATCAACGTCAAGAATTAGCAGAACTGGAAGAAGACTTAAAGAAAAGAGAAGATATCATAAACAAGAAAGAAGCGTTGTTACAAGAGAAAAGTCATTTGGAAATCAAGAAACTAAGATCTAGCCAGGTGCTCTATATAATACTGTGTAACTATTGTTACAGTACCATTGTTTGAGAGTCCAGATAAAACATATTAGAAAGAGAAGCAGCAGTATGGGTCTCATGTAATCTGATTTCTATCCCTGTAATCTCAAGCAAGCCAATCTGTTTTTCTGTACCTCAGTTTCTCTGACTTTTTAAATTGGGGATAATGTAGAACAAAGATATTTCTTCATCTTCTGTAAAACACTTTTTTAAGTTCTGGAGACAAATTCCTTTATGTAAGTATAAAGTCTTATACTTTGTAAAATTTGGTAGATCTCTTTGCAATTTGAAAACAAAATATATTTTTTGGCTATTGGGCTTTAAAAGCAAAAATGAATAGAAATTTAAACACAGATTTCTTAATAGCAGGTGTCTTTATAACGGGTGATGACTAAATTATGATTTAACTTTCTGTATGTAGAAAGCTGAAGTTGAGTGTTTTATAGTTAGTAGTAAATATTTATATTATGATAGTGCCCAAAGAGCGTTGGGGCCCCATTGTGCTAGGTGCTCTACAAAAATGGAAAAGAGACAGTCCCTACCCTGAAGGGCTTGCAATGTAAACTATGTACAGTTTGGTTAATTATGGGTAGCATTTTTGTATCATTTGTGGATTTGGGTTTTTTTAGGCTTTAAACAAAGATAGCTTGAAATTATCTACCCGCCTGAGTATGCTGGACAAGGAATTGTGTGATAAAAGTGTGCAGCTCCAGACCAGTGCCAGTGAAGAGAAGAGACAGATTGTGGAAGAAGTTCAGGTTCTTCAGAAAGAAAGGGACCAGCTGCTCAGAAGAAGAAATAGTGTGGATGAGAAACTTAAAGATGGTAAAGTGTTATCCCCTGAAGTAAGTAAAAATAGCTATTAGTTACTTTTTATAATATAACACACTAATCATGATCTAAACATGTTTCCAAATATCAGATAACTAGAATTGAGAAATTTGAACAGTTTTTGTTAAAATATTAAAATTTTAAATAAGAAATTCAAAGGAATTAAAGTAAGTACAACAGTAGTGGCCTGGTTTGCTAAATAAGAAAATTTAGGTTTGGAAATCTGTTCCAGCTGGTGTCTTGACAACCCTCCCTTGTTCTTTTGTCTGTGGCATACTGTTTTTCTTCCTTGAACTCCGAGTGCTTCTCCTTTCCAGATAACCATCACAATTCTGTCTTTAAACTGAAATAGGTCTTTCAAACCTGCATGACTTAAATCTTTAGTTAAATCAGTGTAACTTTCTTGTATAGATTAGGCCTTAGAGACAGCTGTCTAATAGCTGCCACTGAAACTGACATCAGTACTGTTCTGGATTGGCCAGCAGGAAACGCTTATGCAACAAGTTCCTTTCCTCTCAAGGGAATTAAAAATACATCACCTTCATGACACAGTGGTCTGGCATCTGTCATGGGAAGCAAGAGACAAAACTGCCTCCAAACTTACGTGTCTTGCTGCAGGACACAGCCAATTAAAATTTCTGAGACACCTAGGCACATTCCGCTGCCTTTCCCACCATCCACACACTAAAAATACAAAACTAATAAAAAGCATTGTTCTGTTTTTTTGTGTTTCATTTTCATTTTCCTTCTCCTGGCATAGCTTCATCTTCACTATGCTAAAAAGATACACATTTGCAGATTGACCCTCGATTTCAGGATCCCAATAAAGTAGCTACTAAGTTCCTTTCTACTTGAAACAGGGAATTAAAAGTAGAAAATTATAGCTCCCATGATTTTCTATGAAGATTATGTATATAATGTACACACAGAGCTATGCATGTTTATAGTGACTACTACTATAAATGTACTTTCTATTAAGAAGATCAAGATCTTTTAAAGTTACTTTTTTATGTGCTGCTTTCTTGGAATACCCACACCTACTAGTTTTCCAAATAACCATATAATTAAAAATTCGTACTGTTTAGAAAAACTTCAGTGGATGATTATCAGTTTTTCGCAGCTGGTTCTTATTATGTTCGGACATTGCTTGAGGTGATTTATCCACTAATAAGGGCTCCACTTGACTTTTCATTGGGTTTTGTGAAAAGGAAACCTCACCTGAAATATTCCCAAATTTCCATTGTGACAATAAGGTGTGTTGCTAAGGATATTCCCAGACTCCAGCACAGTGTGAGGTAGAAATCCTGCTAATCAGCATAATTAACTTAAATTAAAGTGAAGTAAGTCCCACTTACAGGGTATAGACTATCCCGTGAGTCCTCCACTCAGTAATGTATTGTATTTAACCCACCGTGAAAAAGGTCATTTATTTTTTTTAAACATTTTCCTCAATTTGTAGTATGTTATTGCATTTTCTCTCAAACAGTCAGAGTCTATATAATAAAATAAATTAATATATTAACGTTAGGGTATCCTGACTCTTGCGTAGCTTTTTAATTGAAATGGAGAGTGGCACCTCATTTCTGCTTTTATTTGTAGGAAGAACATGCCCTTTTCCAACTGGAAGAAGGGATTGAAGCTTTGGAGGCCGCCATTGACTACAAGAATGAAAATATTCAGAATCGCCAGCACTCACTTAGAGGCTCATCTCAAATCCTTACACAGAGCGAGGCCAATGTAATGGGAAAACTAGTTTCCCTGTCTGCTACTGAGCTTAGAGCTATTCTCTTCAAATACTTCAACAAGGTGTGTTTTGGCTGATGAATAATATTAAACTGAATTTTATTTTTCACTTGTGTCGCAGGTAATAAAATGAAACAGTTCAATCTTAGCCCTCTCCCCGAAAAAAGAAGAAAACTTCATTTTAAAAGTTGTGTTTTCAGTGACGATTGCTGAAGTTAGGCTCTGTCTCCCTGTATTGAGCCAGATACTGTGCAGTGTTTCTCACTTCTGTAAATAGTTTTGAACTTTTACATGTCAGGTTTGTCAAGCTCCTTTCAGATGTTGCCAGCCTACATAGTGTTTACTTTCAGATGTGGAGGTAAGGGTTCCCACCTTTCCCCAGTGTGGTCCTGATCCTTCTAGTAGCAAGGAACTAGATGATTTAGGTATTGCAGCATTGGGGGTTGCAGTGCCTAACTTCTTTTTGGTGCCCTGGCACATAATGGAATTCACAACCACAAGTTAGGCATCCAGGCTCCATATACAGTGCATGGGCAGAGTTAGGTGCCTAGAAAATGGAAATCACAAAAGCATGCACACTGAGTTTGGAACAGACTAAACTAGCCAATGCTAAGGAGAGGGGTGTGGCCTAAACCCAACTCCTGAAAGAGACCATAGGTGCCTATCTCTACTTGGTGTTCACAGTTGTGAGAGAAGTTCAGTGCACCCCTCTGCCTAATGTGGAGTAGGGATTTGAGTCTCCTACCTCCCAGGAGAGTTCCCTAACCACTGGGCTATAGATTATTCTGGGATGGGGCTCTCTCACTCTCCTATTGAAGTTGTTCTACTGTGCATAAATATTTAAATATTCATTGGGCCAGAGAGAGAGAGAGAGATTGACTCTTTAATGACTGTTTTTTCCATTATTTTGTCTGGGATTGATGTCAGAATAACTGGCTGATAGCTATCCTGGTCATCCCATTTGACATTTTGAATATTGGCTCAACGTTAGCACTCTTCCAGTCTTTTAGAATTAACATGGTATTGCAAGATTTATTCAAAAATTAACTTCAGTGGGCCAGAGACCTTCTCAACCAACTCTGTTAAGGCTCTGGGCTGCAAATGATCTGAGTTACTGATTTTAAAATGTTTATCCCTAAATGTTGTCAAACAACCTTCAGTTACTAATGGACTTGAGAATACTTAATCATCCTCATTTGAGATGAGTGCATCCTGCATCTTACAAAATACAGAACAGAAATATTTATTGAACACTTCTCTTTTCTGTATAGTTATTAACAATTTTACTATCTCCATCTAGTAATGAGTCTATATCATTGCTAGGATTTCTTTTGTTTTTAATATAGTTAAAACGCTTTTTATTGTCCTTGGCCCTACCAGCAATGGATTCTTCCCTGATATCTTTAGCCTCGATATCAATTTTCTGCACTTCATAACTCCTAACTTATATCAATTGCTATGCTATGTATTGCCCACTTTTTTCCCATTTGTTATTTACAGCTTTTTATTTCTAATTGTTTCCTTCACTTTTGCCACTGAATCAGGATTTTATTTTAGCCAATATTGTTCTATTAAACTCTCTTGGCCACCTAATAAACTCTTCTTAGAAAATTCCCAATTTTCATTCACTTTTTTCTAAATTTTTCTTCCCAATTAATTTTGCTCATAATTTTCCTCAGCTTTGGGAAATCAGCCCTTTTTTGAGGCTGTTTGTACATATGGAATATAATCAGGTCCCTACGCAACCACCAACTTCCTGTCCAGTAATTCATTCATCTTTATCAGTCATGAGGTCCAAAACAGTTACTTCATGTTGGCAGCAATTCCTTTTATGTTAGAAAATTTATAATATTTAGAAACTCCATGAGGATTTATTACTGGCTGCATGACACCTCCAGCATACATCTCCTAAATTGAAGTTCCCCATAAGAACACAATTTTTCTTTCCATACGTTACAGACAGGTGTCCAAGAAATAACTCATCCTGTTCTCTGGTTGATTTGATTTTGTGGAAAGACACCTGGATACTGCAGCATGTTGGTGTGACACTGCAAATTCTGTGGCAGTTCACTTTTTAATTTAAATGTTTTAAAATGAATTAAATATGACAATTAATGCAGTTATTACATTTAGCACTTGTATTTATTTTGATATTACATTCAATTTATTTTATGCTGGCTCTGTGTTTTCAGTTTACAGTATACTGCAGATTTTTTTATTGACAACATATAACTGCATCACAAGTTTTCATGAAACAAGCTGGAGGTTTTGGCAGCTTAGTAGGTGACAACTGGGGCTTTTGCTACCTGCGGTGTGGGAGGCAGTTTGAGATTACGAGATAAGTACATTAGCTAGATATTTTTGTTAAGATTAATAGCAGTGAAATGCCAAATCACGTTGACATTTAAATTGTTGTTTTTAAGTTTCAGAGTGAACAATCCATTGAACTGGACAGACAGGTCACACCTCACAGAGCTATTGTTAGAGGCATTTACAAAATGAGGAAGACAACACAACATTAATTTACACTTGGTTCATATTGTTAAGGTTCTTCATAACCATATGGGCTAGACACATAATTTAAAAAAAAAAGTGCAATTCTGCAGCAATTTTTCATGGTTGTGGAATCCACCAGGAACAGGGGGGACCCTTCTCTATAGTAAGCCTTTCATAGTCTTGCTGTGGATGTGCAGTCCACTCTAGACCATTCTTTTTCCAGTCAATGTGTGTGTGGCTTATAAAGGGTTATTCCCCATGGGTTAATGAATATTATATGCATTAAGCTACTACTTTCCAGTAAGTACAATAAAAAGGTTTTATTAAAAAAAAAAAGTACATTCCTTCAAGATTTTCTCCCCTTTTACTCAAAAAGGGAATTATTTGTTTATTAGGTTGTTAGCCTACGTGAGGCAGAACGTAAATTACAGCTGCAGACTGAAGAGCTAGAAATGAGAGTCATAGAACAGGAAAACATAATACGCGAACTGGAATCGGCACTCGAACACCTCACGCTACAGTGTGACAGGCGACTGACCCTCCAGCAGAAAGAACATGAACAAAAGATACAGTTAATATTGCATCATTTCAAAGGTATTTGCTTCTTAGGGTCTCTATTGGCAAACACTATTTATTCACTATAAAAAAAAATACTGCTTTTCAGTTGCAACTTCATACACGTGTAGCCACAACATACAGTTGTATTATTAATTTTCCACACCCCTGAGCAACGGAATTATACTGACCTAACTCCTGGTGCAGACAGTGCTATGTTAACAGAAGGGCTTCTCCAGTCAACATAGCTACCGCCGCTCAGGGAGGTGGAGTACCTATGCTGACGGGAAAAGCTCTCCCATCAGCGTAGGCAGTGTCTTCACTAAGTGCTACAGCCGCACTGGTGTACCTGCGCCATTGTACCACTGTAAATGTAGACAAGCCCTAATTCTATTGCATGATACAGTGCTGGGGCACAGACACAATATAAGTTCTGGTATGAAAGGAAAACTCCGTTTTTAAAGTTTTTACACTAAACACAGGAAATGGAATGACCTTTTTAAAAACTGGAACTTGTTGATGTAAATGAGAATTAAAGACCATATTTTTCATGTGTTACTTTCACAATTACTCCCTAAAAAGTTAGTGGTCAAAAGTAGGTGCTGATTTTTGGGTACACAGCTTGAGACACCTTGGTTTTTCTTTTTTTTGTCTTGCCAGACATATCACATATCAACAATTCTTGATTTCAGTTACATTTGTAAATAGTCAAGTCCCAGGTGTCTCCTGTTGGACATCCATAATCAGTGGTCACTTGTGCAGAACTACTTGTGTGAGTAAAGTGAGCAGATCGTGGGGCAAAATCTTCAAACTATGGAGATGGGCTTTGAGTCCAATCTTTTAAGATGCTAAGTGTTTCCTCGCTGGGTACCTTCAACTCCCAGAAGACACCTGAATTCTCCCATTTTCTGGTGCTGTGCAGGGGAATCCTGTTAAGAAGTAAATTATAACTTTTACAATGCTAATTCTAAACTTTTGGGAGGAAACCAGCAGTGGGCTATAGGATGTAGTCTGTAATTTCGTATTCTGCATTATTATTTGCATCTGTAAAAATGAAATAAACTTTTTGAAGCTAAAATTAATGTTGTCATCTTAGAACAAGATGGTGAAAGTATTGCAGAAACCCTTAAACTGTATGAAGCTAAAGTCGAACAATTGGAAAAAGACTTGTTCTTCTATAAGAAAACCAGCAGAGAACTAAAGAAGAAACTGAAGGAGCTGGTGGGAGAGTCATTTTATCAGCTGGTGGCACCAACTAAATGTATGTGTTTTGTAGTCACAATAGAAACAATATACAACTTTTAATTGTAACATTTCAAAAATAGTTAATGCAGAGAGTCTCAAGCTTTGAACTTTTTACATTTGAGCAGACTTGAGCAAAGCAGTTTTTCCTCAGTTTAATTTTTAATAGTGATATCTGTCCAGGATGATTTATTGCTTCCGTTGCTTTCAAGTGAAAGCAGTCATTTGTTTCTAGTCTCAACAGTCTGCAATATGTTGTACCTTTAAAATTGCATCGGATTATTATCTTGCTTTTCTGGATTCTAACATTTCAGTATTCACTGTCTCAAATAGAGTTAAAAACAAAGGATTTTTATTAACTGAAAGCTTTCAAATGGTACTGTAGTTGACCCCACTGTAAGATGTCATTGTAAACTTTGAGGTACAGCAGTCCCTTTTTTAGATATGTGGTAGCATGGGATGCATACCACTGACTCTGAGGCAAGCACTGTAGCTGCTTCAAGTATTATGCTACACAGACATTACTTACCTCTTGGTGGGTTCTCATTGAATACTCAGACTTCTAGTAAGTAAAAAAGGAATCTTTACTAGGTCTAGTAGAAAGGATGTAGATACTCTAGGTATCGTGAATTAGACAAATACAATAAAAAGATAAACACATTAGTTCCTAACTCGGCTCTAGAGTACAGCCTAGGAGAGGGGGAACCAAAGGCAACTGTACAGTGGAGGAGCTTCTCAGGCCTATTACCTAGAGTGCTCTTTCTAGTCCATCCTACCATTAGAGGGCAATTAAGTGTTGGCCTGTGTATCCCACTGACCAGTGTTCAGTCCTGTAGCATGCCTAGTTGGGGACCCTCTTCATGTTGTCTTTTTGTAATCCTGTTTAAATGGTTGCTGGCCTCATGTCTTCTGGTTACAGGCTACTCCCCCTGACCATCCCTTCAGAGAACCAGATCACTGATTCTGGCCTGCTGCTCACTGATCCTCTGTTTCTCCCTGAGCTCGATCAGTTCTGCTTCCAAAATGTCACCTTTTCTGGGCCATTCTGGGTAACCTAGTGCCTCCTTTTGGCTGTATGCTGATCTGGGTCCCTGTCTCCCCACTCATCCCTGAAATCCTTTCCCTCCAGCTCATTTGAGGTGGTGTAATGAGCCAACAAGTTCATTACACTACAGAACATAAACCACAAACTCTAGTACTACAGGGGATCTGATTCTAATTGAATGTGGGAAAGACTACAATAGAGATTTTTAATTGTCAGGTAAGCACATTTTTTAGGACAAGTGAATTTCTCCAAAAACTAGTCCTGGTCATTTAATCAAAGAAAAATGTGTGAGCTCTGGAACAATCTAATTTTCCCAAATACATTTTTGATGGGAATGATACAAAATCCAATAGTGGTTCAGTTTTCTTATAATATTACCATTAAACATCTCACCTTGCCTTTCGTTTATTCTTGGATTTGTTGTTGTATGTGTTCATACAAGAGAATAAAATCTATTTTTTCTGCTGATTTAAATTTATTAGCCAGATTTTCAAAAAAGTCTAAAAAATGAACATGCACATTAAAATTGAACTTACAGAATTGTGCATTTGATTGCATAACTACAGGAGTAATTTTAGGTGCTGCTTTTGAAAGCTTGACCCATTATGCATCAGCCCATTAGGTCAGGTGCACTTACAAGTTAAAATAGTGAAGAGATAGGTATAAATGCCCAGACCCAGGGGTTCTGAAACTGTGGGTCGGGACCCCAAGGCTGGTGTCAGCCCTGGGCCACAGCAAGTCTGAAGCCCAAGCCCCACCACCGAGGGCTAAGGTTACATGCCCCCCAGCCAGGTCAGAAGCCTTTGGGCTTCAGCTTTGCCCCCCACCCCTGGGGCAGTGGAGCTCGGGCAGGCTCGGTCTTTGGTTCCCCCTCCTGGGGTCGTGTAGTAATTTTTGTCGTCAGAAGGGGGTCACGATGCAATGAAGTTTGAGAATTGCTGGCCTAGGTTGATGGAAGTAACAGCTAGTTACCTTCTGTCATTATACATGAGATGTTTGTTTAGCAGACTGAAAAAAATGCCACCAATGTCTCTCTTGCCAACAAAAGTTGGTCCAACAAAAGATATTACCGTACCCACCTTGTCTCTCTGATATCCTGGGACTGACACAGCTACAACTACACTGTATACACCACTGTTGAATCATTATTATTGGGGACAGCTTTCACATTTAATCTTGTTAATGCCCTAAGACTGTATTTCCTAGTTAATGTTCTGTAAAACAATGTTTCCTTGACTGGGAGGATTCTCATATGAATTGTATCCTAACATTTGCTTCCCGGAAAACTTCCTTTTAGATAATGATGCTGCTAACAGGATACTCAGCCAAGAAGCAGGAGTTTCTTCAGAAAAATTCAAATTGACATCCAAACCTGAAAGTAACAAACTATCAGGAAAATTAAGAGAAACAGACAGCCCAGCAAGTGGTTTAAAGTGGTGGCAGAATTCATACAGGCTTGAAGAAGATGTTTCAGAGCTAGTACACAATAGAGGGTGTTTATCAAGTAGTACGGAAGACCAACCAGGACCAGATGAAGTACACCCTTCAAAATCTCATCCTCAACTATTTTCTCATCCTCAGACAAAAGAGATCATAACACAGCTTCAAGGAGTAACTCCAGTAAAACTGTCTCGCCGAGAATTACGGCATATTCCTGCGTCCCAACTATCACTGAGGCGCTCCAGCCTTGGAGTTGGTGTCAATTCTGTTGCTGCAGATTCCATTGAAATGTCCAGAAAATCTAATGACTTCAAGATATAGTTATTCTTTGACACATTTTTAGCAGCACATGCTACTGGAATCACTGTATTACATTTCCTTTATTCATGTACTAGTAAACTAGCAGCCACATTGTTCTGTAACTGTTGATATTCAGAACACCAGAGATCATATATGTCTCTTGCGCTTATGCAGTTTCAAAGAATCTGAGACACTGTCTTATTGGCATGACCACAAACAGGCACATGATTAAAAAGCTTTTTATTCCTGAGAGAAAAAAAAAATCTTTATACTCCTTGGTTTTTCAAATCACTCTAAAAGTTCTGGTGCATTTTTCAAAAGTTAACATTAGTGAAGATTGAAGACTATTGAAGTGTACAAGAATATTCTGAGACTAAGGTAATTTCACTTTCATGGTTTAAAAACACATCAAGGTCCCTGGTAATTTGCAAAATACATAGTTTAAAAGCTTGGCTGCTGGACCTAGTAATTGTCAGTGACTGAATTCCCATCACTCATACTACATATCTTACGTAGCATATGTTTGATATCAGGATCTAAAACTAAGTTCGTTCCTTGAAAGGCACATATGTAAATATTTCAAATAATTTTTAATTTTTCCTCAGTATTTAATTACTTACTCTTATGTAAGAGTTATATTGCATGAGCCAAACATGCCTTAAAAACTGTTAAGTCTTTTTCTTTACATGTTTATATAAACTTTTTTAAGCTGTGTGCGAAACAAGTATTATGCCTTATTTGTGAAATTGATGCAATTACTTATTTCACTTTACTTTTTGTGGTTTTTGTTTGTGGGTTCGTTCGTTCTTTCTTTCTTTCGACGTATCTAGATTTGAAGTGTGATGTTTGTGTACTATTGAAATGGTAAATATGGGACCAAAAATTCAGCATTTTAAGGTAATCCAGCAGTACAGTGTTATTAGTAATACAGTATTACTAATACTACAGTATTACTACAGTACTACTACAGTATTAGTAATACATTGTTATTAGTAATAACGGTTCACAACCTTTAATTTAGAAGGAAATGTGAATCATTCTTTTAAAATCCAAATGTACTTCAGAGCAGACAGTACACAGATCCATTGGTTAACAACTAGTTTGTTTAGTTCTGAATAATAAGTTAAATAGTGTTTTGTAAGAGAGCAGTTATCATTCACAAGAAGCTAGTTAGCTGAGCTGACTTGAAGGAAGAGGCCAAGATTTCTGAATTTGAGTGCTATAGGTTAGGCACCTACATTCATATTTAGGCTCCTAAGTAAAAGTGACCTGATTTTCAAAGGTGATTAGTACCTCTGAGCTCAGCAGTTTTGAAAACCAGGCCATTTTTATGTAGAGACATAACTTTAAGCACCCATATTTGAAAACTTTGTCCTGAATTATTTGCTGCACTTAGCAGCAGCAAATCCTTCCAGTCTGAACTGAGATTATTTGCTGATATACTTGGATTGAAGCCTCCAGTACAGAGCCACTGAGAGAAAGAGAATTTCATTTTCCCATGCTTCAGGCCATCAAAGGCCTGTCTACAGAGCAAATTTTACCATGTCAGGAGATCATGTTGTAACATGATAGTGCTCTGACTGTCTTATAACACAATTGTTGGTCTTTTCTGTATAGATTGCACAAAACTGTATTATAACCATATTGATGAACCATTTTGCAGCCCTGTAAAGGCCTATATAATTGTATCCTTGAAAACTGGACTTATTACTTATTGTTCTGTAGAATTGTGATATAAGGGAGTTGGAGGTTTCTGGTTTTTTTTTAAACTGGTTGGTGGTTTTGGTTAGGAGTTTTTACTGTGCTGTAAGTCTAAATAATTGAGGCTTTGTCATGTTAAATTTTATATAAATGTATTTAATATTCATATCTTAATACAGGTATGCTAAAGCAATACATGGAAATACAGTAAATGTATTAAAAAGCTTAATTTCAGTTTTCTACATCACCATACCAGCTGTATGAAACACAACTGTTAAAGACCTATACTGAGCCTTTATCATATACCTCAAACTATCTTGTCTGTTAGCCTGCATTTAAATAGATCTGGGTTGATTTTGCTTTGTATTTTACACATAAAAAACCAACCAAAAATGTGTCCATATGGGCTCAAAAAACAGACTAAAATGTAGGATAGAATGATTCACTACTAAGTGTCACTGGATGCTCTGTGAATTTCTGTAGGATTGGGTGGGATTATTTACTTATCCAAGCATAATGGGCATTTACTTAAATGTCTTTAAAACCTGTTGCAAATTTTAAAAGATGTTTTACCTACTTTATATCAGATTTGGTTCCATGGCACATTGGTGTATATATTTACACACATTGCATGGTGTATATATTTCCCCATATAGTAGAAATTGCATTTGTCCCTCTTACATTTAGATGTATTGAATGGAAGATTTAGAACCACTCAGTAGAGATATGGAAGAATTATGAGCTTTGAATGGGTTCTGGCAGTCTAGATATGAAAACAGAATAAAGACAGCCTGAGGGAAGGGTAGCAGTGATACAGGGAGGAAAAAACAAATATGCTAAATGAATGATTAAATTCTGATTAGTATAAATATTTGAGTGAAAATAGAGCTGGGGTGAACAAAACATTCTTAACTTTTCCTCTCCCACTATATGAGAGAGAGTCCTGGTTTTTATTGGTAAATATAAGTGGGACTACAAGACTTTAAGTCCCACAAAGAAGCCATTTATTGGTTGTCTTCATGTTATTCACTAATTGGCATTTATGGCCTGTGTTTCACTAATGTGCAGCCTGGGAGTAAAAAGAATGTAAGGCGTTAATTTACAGTGATCTACCTGGCCACCATTCTTCTGACAATTGCTTCAGCTGTTATATGTCAATGCTGAAACTTAACTGCAAAAAAGAGAAAGCCCTTTAAAAACTGTTTGGCTGCTTGGGTAGCATTGTACATTTGAAGTTAAGTTAACCTGATTTCCAATCCAAATTCTATATTTATTACAATATCTAAACACAATAGTGGGTGCTGGAGGTCTATTGCTTTTTCCATTATAGACCCTCTTTTTTAGGAGTACAGACAAGGGGTGGGCAAACTTTTTGGCCCAAGGGCCACATCGAGGAATAGAAATTGTATGGTGGGTCATGAGCGCTCACAAAATTGGGGTTGGAGTGCGGGACGGGGTGCAGCTCTGGGGTGGGGCTTGGGATGAGGAGTTTGGGGTGTAGGAGGGTGCTCTGGGCTGGGACTGAGGGGTTTGGAGGGTGGGAGGGGGATCAGGGCTGGCGCAGGGGTGCAGGAAGGGGTGCAGGTTCCAGCTGGGGGTGCAGGCTGGAGATGAGAGCTTTGGGGTACAGGAAGGTGCTCCGGGCTGGGATCGAGGGGTTTGGAGAGAGGGAGGGCAACCAGGGCTGGGGAAGGGGATTGCGGCATGGGGAGAGGCTCAGGGGTGCAGGTTCCAAGCAGTGCTTACCTCAAATGGCTCCTGGAAGCAGTGGCATATCCCTTCTGTGGCTCCTATGCAGAGGCACAGCCAGGCGACTCTGCACACTGCCCCATCCACAGGCACCGCCCCTGCAGCTCCCATTGGTGCACTGAAGGGAGCCATTGGAGTGCATAGGAGCCAGAGCAGGGCCGGGCTGTGGCTTCCAGGAGCCACGTGGTGCGGCCCCCGACCCAGTGCCTCAGACGGAGCGGGGCCGAGGCGCATGGTGCAGCCCAGACCCAGCGCCGTGGCCAGAGCACTGGAGCAGGGCAAGCCACGTGGTGTGGCCCCTGACCCAGTGCCGAGGCCGGAGTGGGGCCAAGCCGCGTGGTGTAGCTCATGGGCCGCATCCGGCCCATCGGCTGTAGTCTGCCCACTCCTGGTGTAGACCATAGTGAAATTCATCTCATGCATATGTTCTGCACCAGGCTCTGTGCACCCACTTAAACAATATATTAATGGTTAAAGCCCAGTCCCATAAACCAGTGGGAGTTTTGCTGCTGTCTATAATAGGACAAGGATTTGGTTTTAGGAACTTAAGGTGAGATTTAAGAGGCACATAAGACTTCATATACATCTCTGCATTACAATGAGTTTCACCCTGCACAAATCATTTTTAGTCATATTGGGATGACATTTGGTATACAAATTCTGCACAAAGGCAATTTTATTAGGTGGAAAATGGCTTAAATCGGTTCTTATTTGATGAGGATTATTCTGTACTGGTTTCAGAGTAAGTTTGATATTCTTATTTTCAGACTCTCAGCACTAAACTTCTGAATTTAATAAATAAATGGTTAGGCACTTCTTTGTGGTGCCTTTTTTCCTCGTTTTAACTTAAAAGACAAGTTATTAAATCTAGAAATGTGAATACGTTCAGGCTTTCCAGACCTTTCAAGATTTATAAATCCTTCATTGCCATGTTAAAGATTAACATAGAATCTCTAATTCAGGATGGAACCCTAAAGAAAATCTCCCACTGAGAACAGCTAAGGAACACAGCTAGCTCTACATGAATAATATTAACCTTCGTCTATATTATAAAAACTCAGGATTGTTGGCACGTGTAGCACACCTCTCGACTACAAACAAGTACTTGCAACAAAGCCCAATTGTTGCCAAACCATTACAACTGCACTTACTCCTAGCAAGGCTCACCACTGCATTGGGTCACCCTGTACTAATCCAGGCCTAATATAGACTGAAAATACTAGTACTGCAGCTACAATGTTACAATTAGTCCTCTCAGCAAAGTCCCATAGTGCTTTTATACTACCTTAGTTCCTACTCTATGCAACGTGCAGTTTCCTGTACTCCTTTGTTTTGAGCTGGCGACGCTTCTGTAATCTTATGCTTGTGAATTTTCTGTTTTATAAGGTTTATACAAAATTGATGCATGCAAGGTATTTTTTGTTTCAGAACATATTTTGATGCATTACCAATGCCATTTAACTTTTCTAAATACAACAAAAAATGGTAATAGCTGGTTTGCATTTAAAAAAAAAAAATAGAAGTACTTCACCTATCCAAGTGAATTGTTAACACAAACCTTTAGGTTTGGGGAACTGTGCTAGGATCTATGGGACAGGTACCTCTCATGCACAGAAAGTGCAATGATTAAAGGAAATGATGTGAGTTTATGCTAGCCATGTTGGATGAATTTCATAATTACAAGATCCAACAGTTCACTTAACTATTTGAAAACTGTAAAGGTAGGGTAAACTGTAGGGTAAACAAATCTTTACATTTTCAATTATATAGGAAAATATTATGGAAGGCATAGGCCTCTCTAGTGGTGCCCATGATCAGAAGGAAATATGGGTACAAAACCAATATTATTCAAGAAAAAGTTAGTCCAAAACCATACTAAAATGTTATTAAAATATAATTTAAAAAATGCGGTATAAATGTGAAATGTGGTATAAAAACCACCTTATTGAAAATGTAAATAAGTTTTGAGTTCAGAGATTATTTCACTTTTGGGGTAAGAGGCAATACAAAAACTTTTATCTAGAGCGAGAGCTGTATAAATAAATGGCATTTTAACCAAGTACCATGCAACTCCTTTGGAAATGCTTTAGGTCACATAAGTATGGAGACTGGTAAAAGCCAGAAAATTGAAGTTTCAGTAAGTATTGGATAAAAAGAATTTTACTAGAGATGGGATCGTGGTAAATTTGTAAGTGCTAAACTTGACAATGCATCATTCCCAAAAGATGATGTAGTGCAATCCAGGCAAGATACTTGCCCCATATCAGAGGGAGAGATGTGCACTAGAGAAATAGTCTTGATGTCAGAGATGTTCAGAGGGAACAGCTTGACAAAATGCTTAAGATGTAAACATTCCTTGGCTTAAATCACTAGACCTACAAGATTTTTACAGTAGGGCTAGGTTGTTTAGCAGTATGAAATAATAGCTGAGTATTTTTTATTTGCTTTTATTGTCTCTCCATTTTCCATTTAACATAACTAGTTGAGATACATTATGTAATGTAAAACCCAAAGTAACATCCTGAAGCGTGGTTAAGGACATGGCTACACTTGCAAATGTAGAGTGCTTTGAGTTAAACCAGCCATCGGAGAGCGCAGTAGGGAAAGCACTGCAGGTTGTCCACACCTACAGCTTCAAGCGCACTGGTGTGACCACATTTGAGGCACTTGCAGCGGCATTGGGAGAGGTGCATTATGGACAGCTATCCCAGCATGCAAGTGACTGCAACGTGCTTTTCAAATGGAGGGTGGGTGGAGTGTGACAGGGAGTATGTTGTGTGTATGTGCGAGGAGAGAGAGTTGTTTTTTGGGGGACTGAGAACATGTCAGCATGCTGTCTTGTAAGTTCAGACAGTAGCAGACCCTCCTCCCCCCCACCCACCTCCCTCTCTCACACACAAAACAACCATTACTGTGGAATGCTGTCTCGGAGCAGATAAGCAGCTGGCTGTCAGAAACGTAGCTTTCAAAGGGCATATCCGCATTCCTGCAGCGATTCAAAAACAATGACAAGAGTGGCCACTTGACTTAAGGGGATGATGGGAGTTTCCAGAGGCCGATCAGAGTGCAGTAATGCAACACCTCGTTCACACTGATGCCCAGGCATTTCAGCCAAGATGCAGCAAGTGTTAATCTTCTCGCTGAGGTGGAGTACCAGGAGCGCTCTAGCCATGGAGGCTTGCCAGTGTGGACGGGTAGTGAGCTAGGGTGCCCAGGGCTCCTTTAATGCGCTCTAACTCGCAAGTGTAGCCAAGCCCTAAGGAATGTAGGGTGTGACAGGCTCTTCCAAGGAAGAATGATTTTTGTGGTCCAAAGCACTTCAGTGGGTTGGATAGCAAATCAGTTCCTAGCTTTGTCAGAAATTTGTGTGTGACCTTAAGCAGATTACACTCTCTGTGTGCACTGGTTCCTCATCTGTAAAATAATATGCTCTCTTACTTACCCCTTGCCTAACTTGTCTCTTCTGAATTTAAACTTTTTGGGGTAGGGATTGTCCTTACTTTGTAGTGGTGCTACACCTAGTACAATACAGCCACTAATGTCATAACAATAACACAGGTTTCAGAGTAACAGCCGTGTTAGTCTGTATTCGCAAAAAGAAAAGGAGTACTTGTGGCACCTTAGAGACTAATCAATTTATTTGAGCATAAGCTTTCGTGAGCTACAGCTCACTTCATCGGATGCATACTGTGGAAACTGCAGAAGACATTATATACACACAGAGACCATGAAACAATACCTCCTCCCACCCCACTCTCCTGCTGGTAATAGCTTATCTAAAGTGATCACTCTCTTTACAATGTGTATGATAATCAAGGTGGGCCATTTCCAGCTCAAATCCAGGTTTTCTCACCCCCCCCCCCCTTTTTCCAAAAACCACACACACAAACTCACTCTCCTGCTGGTAATAGCTTATCCAAAGTGACCACTCTCCTTACAATGTGTATGATAATCAAGGTGGGCCATTTCCAGCTCAAATCCAGGTTTTCTCACCCCCCCCCCTTTTTCCAAAAACCACACACACAAACTCACTCTCCTGCTGGTAATAGCTTATCCAAAGTGACCACTCTCCTTACAATGTGTATGAAAATCAAGGTGGGCCATTTCCAGCACAAATACAGGTTTTCTCACCCCCCCCTCACCCCACTCTGAACGCTAGGGTACAGATGTGGGGACCTGCATGAAAAACCTCCTAAGCTCATCTTTACCAGCTTAGGTCAAAACTTCCCCAAGGTACAAAATATTCCACCAAGAAACAAAGGTTCTCTGTCTGTCTATATGCTGTTTCTGCCGGGGATAGACCAGGAATGGAGTCTTAGAACTTTTAGTAAGTAATCTAGCTAGGTATGTGTTAGATTATGATTTCTTTAAATGGCTGAGAAAAGAATTGTGCTGAATAGAATAACTATTTCTGTCTGTGTATCTTTTTTGTAACTTAAGGTTTTGCCTAGAGGGATTCTCTATGTTTTGAATCTAATTACCCTGGAAGGTACCTACCATCCTGATTTTACAGAGGTGATTTCTTTACTTCTATTTACTTCTATTTCTATTAAAAGTCTTCTTGTAAGAAAACTGAATGCTTTTTCATTGTTCTCAGATCTAAGGGTTTGGGTCTGTGGTCACCTATGCAAATTGGTGAGGCTTTTTATCCAACATTTCCCAGGAAAGGGGGAGGTGCAAGTGTTGGGAGGATTGTTCATTGTTCTTAAGATGCAAGGGTCTGGGTCTGTAGTCACCTAGGCAAATTGGTGAGGCTTTTTACCAAACCTTGTCCAGGAAGTGGGGTGCAAGGTTTTGGGAAGTATTTTGGGGGGAAAGACGTTTCCAAACAGCTCTTCCCCAGTAACCAGTATTTGTTTGGTGGTGGTAGCGGCCAATCCAAGGACAAAGGGTGGAATATTTTGTACCTTGGGGAAGTTTTGACCTAAGCTGGTAAAGATAAGTTTAGGAGGTTTTTCATGCAGGTCCCCACATCTGTACCCTATCGTTCAGAGTGGGGTATGGAGGGGGGGGGTGAGAAAACCTGGATTTGTGCTGGAAATGGCCCACCTTGATTTTCATACACATTGTAAGGAGAGTGGTCACTCTGGATAAGCTATTACCAGCAGGAGCGTGAGTTTGTGTGTGTGGTTTTTGGAAAAGGGGGGGGGGGTGAGAAAACCTGGATTTGAGCTGCAAATGGCCCACCTTGATTATCATACACATTGTAAGGAGAGTGGGAAACGAGGGCAAAAAAACCTAACAGGACCCAGCTCAACTATAGGGCCTGTGCTTTCAGTCGGGGATAAGAATCGCTTGTAGATCATCCTCCCTGAAACTTGAACAATGTATTAGTTTAAGCTGCAACTGGGGCGACTCTCTTCCCCCGCCCCAGCAGAGGCCGAGCTGGGAAACCATCCCTGGTTTCACAGCAAGGCTGTGGCTAGCGATGCAGGATTCTGCAAGAGCAGGCCTGAAGTGAAGGCAAACTGCGCCCCCGTCCTGCTGACGGCGCTGCTGCCCAGGGCGCTGACAGACACTGCAGAGCTGGCCCTCGCCACCAAGCCTGGCTGCTGCGGCCCAGCACCAGCTCCCTCCCTGACAGCAGAGCTGGGTGGGAAGCGGGGAGAGGTCGAGTCCCATGGCGCGGCCTGGCTTCCCTTTCCCACGAAGCCCCCTGCCGCCATCTTCCTTTATCGGGGAGGCGAGGGGAGGGGGGAAGTGGCACGTGCCTCAGCAGGTAGCTACCCCCGTACACGAAGGGAAGTGGTGCTTCATCAGAGACGGGCTGCACACGCCCCTAGCTTTCGTCCCTCGCTACGACGTGTTCTCCAAGCCGCCTCTGCCCCGCGGTCGGCTCATTAGGCATTTTGAGCCAGCCTAGTATCCGTACTCGCCCTGGATGGCTGCCTTCCGCTCGCAACTGTGCGTCACACGTCCTTTTTATTGCGCACGCGCTGGTACCGCCACTCCAGCCAACCAGCGAACGAGGTAAATAAACAAACCCGCGAGCCAACAAGGCACCTCCTCCCTTCGCCACCGCGGCGCGAGCCTCTCCGCAACTGCCCGGCCCGGCCCCTCGAGACCCGTTGTAACCGCCTGTTAGCAGGCAGTAGTGACGCTGACAGCCCCTCCGCTGCTGGGGACAGAGCCGGAGCCTTCCCGCCCCGGAGAAGGAGTGAGTGCGGCAGCCACACAGTATGTCTCTCCGCCTGCCTCCCCGGGGCTCCTCAGGCTGCCCCATCGCGTCCCCGCCCCGCCCCCTGGCTCCGATTATTCCGCGCAGAAGATGAGTATCCCGCCGCTCCCTCGCAAGCCGCGGCCTCCCCCGAGGAGGAGGAGGAACGGGCGCGGCGGGACGCTGCCCCTGCCGGAGGGGGGCCTGTTAGGGGCGGAGGTGTTACTGGCGAAGAAGCCGTTTGCGTCCGCGGCACTCGCCGCTGCTCTCTCGCCAGGCCCGAGGGTGTGTCAGGCACGGGCCCCGCCGCGCGCCCTTTTGCGCCGCTCTGCTGCTGCCTCTCGGGTGGGCGCTGCGGTCTCCAGCTGCTCCGAGCGCTGAGGGCCGCCGCAGCCGGGAGAGCCCTGCTGGGTCACGTCGAGCCTGTTCCCCTCTGGGGCCAGCCCGCCCGTCCGCCCTTGCTTGAGACGTGCAGGGCTTTGTTCGCTCCGCAGCTAAATCCTGCCGGTGCTAGCGTGGGTGTCTTGGTAACTAACCATCCCGCATCCGCGTGGGGATCCCGTCGGCCCGCGCCTCGGGGTTCGGCCGCCGCTGGCCCTCCTGCTGCCTCTAGTTCCCCTCTCTTGGAAACAGTGACTTTGTCTAGCATTTGGCCTTTTTGATACACACAGCAGCTCGTTCTCCGCCCCCTGATCACTGCTTGGCCAAGCTCTGCCTGTTACCGCTGGGCCCCAGTATATGTAAAATAAGCCCCTGGTGTTCAGGGGTTTGGAACGTTCACGGTGTGTAACAGCTTTCACGGTGTGTAACAGGTTTCAGGGTAGCAGCCGTGTTAGTCTGTATCCGCAAAAAGAAAAGGACTTGTGACACCTTAGAGACTAACAAACGTATTGGAGCATAAGCTTTCATGAGTCTCTAAGATGCCATAAGTACTCCTTTTTCTGTGTAATAGAAACTTCTCCTGTTTGAGGTCCTTTCCCAAAGCTTGAGCCAAATCCCTTTAGATGTGCTCTGGGACTGGGTCACTGCAGAAAAATACTTCTGACTTTTTTCTTTAAACAAATCGAACTGTCCCTTTTTAGAGAGGAATACAAGGAAAACTGCTAACATTTGAAGCTTGAGATTTTGTTTGGTCATAGCAGACAATGAGCACTAATACCTCTGCTTGGCTGGCAAAAATGTGCACTAGGGAGTACTGGGAGCGCTCTAGGTGTGGAGTCAGACTTGGATTTACAAGAGCTAGAACTCTTAAATGTTTATATGTATGAGTATGTTTTTGGTAAAGGAGTGGTGCATGGATGCATGGTATGTTGAGTGTGGCCTTTCAAAATTTGTTTACCTAAACATCTGTAACTTTAAAATTTAGCAAATTGATTTTCTTAATTTTGGGTTGAGTTTAAGTCTCAGTGACGTATCCCAAAACAAATCCTGGGTTAGGGAATACTTGTCTGGTGGTTGTAAAGTTATGACTGTTTAGGATATATATGACTACTTAGTGATCAGAATCCAGAACTAAGAAAAGCTTAACCAAATCCTACTTGTATTATATCATCCCTTGCCCAGCTACATCATTTGGTTCTCCTACCACCTTTTTGACCACTTGCATGGTATCTCCTGGCACTTTTTTCCGGTTTAAACCTAAAACCTTAGATGAGTTTAAACTTTTTAAGACTGAGGCTCCAATCCTGCAACAAGCTCTGCATAGGTGGATCTTTGAGCCAGACTCCTTTGGCTTTGGCACAGCTGTGTGTGGGTGCGTGGGTCCACCTGCATGGAGCTCATCGCAGAATTGGGGCCGAAGACCTTATAGGTTTAATCTGTTTCAGCCGCTCTAAAGATTTAGAGTGGTTTAAGCTACTTAATGCAGATTTAAGGCCTATGTTAAAACTACAGAAAAGGGAGGATTTACAGGGAGAAGAGCACTGGTCAAGTGGCAGGAGGTGTTTTTCTTGACTACACTCATAGTTATATGAATGCAGAGAAAAGGGAATGTGCATAAGGTCTCCAGTAATAAGACACATTGAACTTTGGCTGTTTGGTGCTTCTTAGTGCAGAGTTTACTAATGATGATGATCAATGTCTGTTAATCTTTGACTGGTATGTGTTAGAGAATTGGGGACTTTCCTTTTGAAACAAAACAAAAATGCCCTACATATACACACACTGGAAACTAAATGTAAAAAAACTAAGTTAATGGACTGTTACAGTTGCACAAAGTACCTAAGACAGGAAATGTGAAAGTTGAAGGTTGTAACCGCCCTTTTGCACGTATGCATTTGAGCTTATCACACATGATCATAGCTGCTCATGTGTATTTCCAGTTGTAAAAACTGCTACGTTGTATGGCAGAAATAGTATGTCATTATGCTAAAAAATATTTTGAGAGCTTGGAAATGTGAGTTTGCATTATTTAACCCTGCAACCTTTAAAATAAACAAACCTACTTTTCAAAAGTGATAGTATTTTTGAGTGTCTTAATTTTTTTTTTTTTGCTGCCCAGATATGACACCTTAATGGAACTTGACGTTAAGAAGCTGCTGTGCACTATATTAAAGTTAGGCCCATTTAAGGTATTTCAGGTAGAGCATCCAAAATCACTTGTTACTTTTTAGAAAATCTTGACCAAAATGGGTAGATTCAGTTTGGTTGGATCAAAAATAAGCAGTTTTTAAATGGCAGTTTCTGTTCTTGCATTTACATTGCTGTAAAAAGAAAATAAAACTTAAAAATATTTTAGGAGGGAATAAATAAGACTGACCACCAGGATCAAGTGCCTTACATTTATAATATACTTTTAGTAAATAAAACAATTCTAATGATGATGGTTACAAACTTACTGTCAGCCTACTGGATATACATTATACAACAATTTAAAAGGAGACTGCCATGGTATTTTTCATAAAGTTTTAAATGCTTTTTGCTCATAGCTCCTTGGATGTTTGACATTTAAATGTGTTGCCATAACGTTTTTGTCACAAGATGGATTGTTACAGTACTGTTGTTTAGGAGTTTTCAGATGCTGCTACTTTTAATGGAAAGTGTGTTCATACATAATGAAATCTACTGACTTTGCAAATGAATAAGAAGGGAAATGGGCTATATTTTGGATCCGCTAATATTGTCTCCTTGAAACAGATTGTAAATGTGGTGCTTTCCTATTGGCTACTGTGCTGACCTTTAGAAGTGTAAAAGTATTCTATTAACACTAGATCATATTCATGGCAATTTGAAGTATCCAGCATATATAGGCAGCCCTTTTCCACACTATGCTACCTCCTAATCTCTATTCAGGGACCCTTCTAATGCGACAGTGTAAAGGGCATAAATGCATTCTCTTCTGGAGCTAGGAACAATAGAAGAAGAATATGAGGGAGGGAAATGCTTCTATGAGAAATTTTTTCTATCCCAAAATAGACAGCGGCTTCTGTACTTACTTTTGATGTAAATAAGCACTTCACTCAGATACTGAATAGTTTTGAACTTTTGGAAAGGCAGTCTGAGTCAGGGTAATGCAGACGGCAGGGTGAAACAGATGGCAGATCCTCTGTGTGGACTCTGTTAGAGGTTAAGATGAGACCTAAAGTAACAAGTCATCCAAGTATAGGTAGACCTGTATGTTCTGCCATCTTAAGTCGGCTGCCATACCAATGTCTGACATTTTGAGAACACTCAAGTCCAGGGCAACAATCTGAAACTTGAGCTCTCTGATTAAGAAATTTAAATTTGAGATCCAAAATAGCCTCTGACTCTCTTGAGGAATCAAAAAGCATTTCTAATAGAAACCCTTTCCCCCTCATATTATTCTTCTGTTGTTCCCAGCCCCAGAAGAGAATGCATTTATGCCCTTCATATAGTCTCATGAGAAGGATCCCTGAAGAGGGGTTGGGAGGCAGCCTAGTATGGAAAAGGATTGCATATCTATGTTGGATTTGGCACAAGGGAAAGTATTCCTAACAGAACATAGGTACCTAAATATATGCAGAACCATGTACGTACTGTCTGAGAACTCTGATCAGCAAATGATCTCTTATCTTGGTCCGTTGGGCCTTGAGACTTCAGCCATTTATGGTACTCCTTATGCTTGATTGAGGATGAAACCTCTGTGACACTGGGTAGCTCATCATTATGGTCTAAATATGGAAGAAATTATTTTTGTTAACAATACCTAAAAAGGTGCTCACTTGCCTCAAGTGATGGAATCATAGGAACATTATTCAGATGAGAATATTCCAGCCTCTTTCAGTGATCATCTCAGACATCTCCAATATTTGAGCACAGAGGTGTTTGATCTGTAGGGCGCAGTCCCGGGGGGGAGGGTGCATGGAGTAATGTTTGGGAAGGCACGGTTGGGGCCTGGACCAGCCCCCACAGGGGGCAGGGAGGGAGTGCCGCCCAGCTGCTGGCCCTGCGCCCAGGGCTTCGCGCATGGCTGTAGGCCTCCACTCCTGCCCCCAGCTGTGGCCCCAGCCTTGGCCCCCTTACACCATGTGCATCCCCGCCTCCCAGAGCTGCAGCCCTGCTCGGCCTGGCTCCATGGTGGAGCGCAGACAGGGGTAAGAAGGCAGTGTGAGGGAAAAAAATTGGGGACCACTGTTTTAGCTGATCAGATCAGTCCAATCCTCCAGGATCAAGACAAGTGATCTCTAAAACAGTGGCAGGCTGGATTTTTTCAAAAATCAGGGCATTCAGAGAGATTTCTTTTCCGCCAGTTGCAAAAAGTTCTTCAGAGCAGGAATAGATAGTGAACAGCAGATGTTCTTCTGGAGTGAAGAACCAATGTTTTCTGTGCATTTTCCCCAGTTCCCTCTAATAGCAAGCATCCTTCCCCATGTTTCTAGAATTCTGTCACGAGCTGTGACAATATAGGGGCTTGTCTACACTTTTACATTATATAGCGCTCTAACTTGCTGGCTCAAGAGTGTGAAAAATCACCCCCCTGAGCACAGCAAGTTTGAGCGCTTTAAAGTGTGAGTGTGGACAGGCTCTGAGAGCTGGGAGCTCTCTTCCAGTGCTCGCATGT